CATGGGGACCCTGGACCCTTCTTCAACCTCGATTCCGCCACTGTCCCCTGGGCTTCAAAGAAGTGGATCTCGAAGCAGCCGAAAAGGTCCGGGCCTGGATTCTGCGCCGCCTGAGCAAAATGATCAGGCTACTTCACCAGCAAATTACCACGTTGCCAACGAACCGTCATGTGCTGGTTATAAAGAGCGCAGCATGAAAGACCTGCCTAGCCTACCATTGGTAAGCACGTTCTTGGACTGGTCCATAGAGTATTTCCGCGAGCCGCAGATGAAAGCATCGGAGGCCGAAGAGCCTGGCAGCCACGAGTACAACGAACGCCTCTGGCGCCGTTCACGCAACGAGGCCGTTTTGAGAGAGACTCAGCCCCAGAAGACGCATGCGCGAACCCACAAGTGGAATGACCAAATTGGCGTCATCAACAATGGTTCGCAACCGGCCAAACTCAGCTTCCATCAGTTTGAGAATTACGTTGCCGTCGCAGATGACGGGAATACAGTGAACGTGTGGGATTGGAAACAGGGTACCCGGAAGAGTCGTTTCTCCAACGGCAACCCAGAAGGCTCCAAGATCTCAGACATGAAGTTCATCAACGAAGACGATCAAGCGCTGTTGATGACGGGGTCATCAGACGGTGTAATCCGCGTTTACCGGAATTACGACAGCAATGAGAACATCGAGCTGGCATCAGCTTGGCGCGCTCTGACGCACATGGTTCCGTCCAACGTCAACTCGGGCATGGTGTTCGACTGGCAACAGGTCAAGGGTCAGGTGCTCGTGGCCGGGGATGAGAGGGTCATTCGCATCTGGAATGCCGGTCATGAAATGTGTACCCATGAAATTCCAGCACGATCCGGCTCCTGCGTTACTTCGCTCACGTCAGATCAGATGACAGGCAACATCTTTGTCGCCGGATTTGGCGACGGGGCGATCAGAGTCTTTGATACTCGCATGAAGCCGCAGGAGAGCATGGTTCGGAAATGGAAGGACGAGAAGAGGCAGTGGGTACGATCGGTGCACATGCAACGCGGTGGACAGAGAGAACTGTTGTCGGCCAGCCGCAACGGCAAGATCCGGTTGTGGGATATCCGTATGGACCAGCCGCTCAAATCGTTCCAGACCACTAAGGACGTACTCAGGACGGCAAGCACCCATGAACACTTGCCTGTTTTTGCTGTGTAGGTTTCCCCACCCTTGATCATCCTACGCGGAACTGATTACAATAACTAACTTGCATGACGCTATATAGTGGTACTTCGGCGCATCTCGTCAAGGTCTTTGACTTTGATGGCCATGAGCTGACCCGGATCGAGCCCTACTCTAGCTTTCTCCAGGGCCACAAGGGCACGCCTATCTCTGCTACTGCATTCCATCCTCATCGGATGGTTTTGGGTTGCGCTGCTCGCGGGGACTATCACGTCAACCTGTTCGCTTGTGGGAACGAGAAGGTTGGCCCCTTCTAAAATTACGAGAGGGGTGGCATCCTCCGAGTTACGAGAGGCATAAGAGGGGTGGCATCCTCGGGTCTGTAGAACGGCCTATGGCCTCTGGCAAGCTACATCTACCCGTTGATTTTCTCATGATCTGTGATTGTTTGCATTTATCATCTCTTATGATACGCTTCTCGGGTCTGTCACGTCTTGGTTCATTTCGCGCTTCCCAACCATCATCCATCAGAGGAATTTCCTTTTTAAGCTTGCCCTGTTCACATAGTGATGCGTCTTCCTCTGGTTGTTGCTTTCTCTTCACTGCATGGCAATCTGGTTCTGTTGTGTTTGTTTTTATGTTTATGTTTATGTATGTCGCACGTTCAAGAATAATGCGTATATGAAGACAGAACGAAGGAATGTTTTCACGGAGGTCAAGTAGAAGCGAATCAAAGCTCATAACGGGAGCCAGAGACCAAAAGGCGACCGGAAGGATTGAAGCCTCTGTCTGATACGCTACATTTGATCCTGCGCACCGGTAGAGAGTGCGTGGAGGGAAGGAGGGTGAATAAGGATTTGCAGTAGTCTTTACTTAGCGGTCTTGTTGTAATTCATGGTGCGAATGGTCACGGTTCTCTCAGCATTGGCAGGTATTGTGACTTCCCTTCCCGGTATGTAGAACTATAACTGTTTGAAATCAAGGATTGCCTGGTACTCTGATCAGCGATAACGTCCTTTTGTAAGACTATAGATAATAGATACAAAAGATCTGGGGAATAGAACAAGCATACCTCCTGATAATCTTCGTATACAACCACCGCTTGACCAGTTGTATTCATTGTTTACCTTCCGATTCGCGTCCAAGTGTATTAATTTTACCCTCTATGTATGTCACCTCCCTCGAGAACTTTTCCCCTTTTTTTTTTTTTTTTTTTTGGGGGGGGGGGGGAGGGGGGGATCACCGAGTTCGCTCCTCTCAGATGCTAACTAAGCCAGTGCAACCAATCATCATACATGGACAATGCAAAGTGGATCCCCTGGCGAGTTCAGCAGCGCTCGTCTCGTCACTGTTCGTTATACCAGACGCGTCGTAACAACAAAGTACCCCGACTTCCACTTGCAACCTCCAGCAACTTCCATCCCAGCCTTCCATTGGCACAATAACCACATCCGAACTACTTGATCAGTGCAGCACGAATCATACTCGGCGACACTGTCTCACCTTAACCAAGTCATAGCTGAATCTGGCGCGCAGAGCAGCCATCTCGACAACGAGTCATGGGCCCCAAGCGACACCACGATGCCCTCACATACTCTGATAACGATGAGCCAGCACCGCAACCCGTAGCCAAGCGGCGGAAAGAGCATTCCTCTGCCAAATCCAAATCAACGGAGCCAAAGACCGACTCTACATACGGCCAACGCGCCGCCTTCCCTGGCCTCGACGAACCTGCTACGCTCAGCGACGAAGACCTGGAATTCGAGGACCAAGACGATGCCCTCGCCTATCTCCGTTCTGTTCGGTAAGCTTTCCCTCCCTGGATACTCATACCTCCCCTCCCTCTGCAGAAACATCCGTTAGGCTAAACAATGTCAATTTCTCCCAATTGCTGCAGACCATGATGACTGACAATGGTAAGTAACACAGGCAAGAGGCGAACGGCATACCTCACCTCCTCGTAGCTCCCAAAGCTGGGCCGCAGCTCCCGCCGTACCTCTCGAATGATTCATCAAACAACGTGGACAGAAGCATCTACCACGACGGCCTCGGCGATTCCCGTGGCTACTACCAAGACGGCGCCTACACAGCCACACCTGACAATCTCGTCGAGCCCGTCCCCGAAGATGACGATAACTACGATAACTACGGCTACGGCGGCGCCAACTATGATAAAGACTCGTCCAGCGACTCGTCAACCAACACCTCCCGCACCCACGCCCTCTTGACCACCAACCGCCACCTCGCCCGCGAAGCCTACTTCGCCTCCCTCATATCCCAATTCTCCGCGCTCCGCTCCATGCTCCACCAAACCCCCCCGTCCTCCCTCCTTGCCGCGCTCGACAAAGACCACGGCTACCAAGTCGGCTCCTTTGGTCCCAAGTCGCGGACCTTCCGAGTCTGGACGAACCGGATCCGCTACACGGACCCGGTTCCCGCGCAGGTGGCCGCCATGGACCGGTTCGGCGCGCTCAAGCTTCTGCGTGTCATCCTGGGCGGGAAATTCATTCGTCGGGGTTGTGAACTGCGAGAGCGCACGAGTCGGTGGATATGGGCGTTGTTGGCAAGACTGCCGGATAGAGGAGAGATGGATCATACGGACATCGGGTGGGTGAGAGAGCTGGGGAAGAGGGCAGTGTTAATGATGGTGAGCATTGCGCAGATGGCGGCGTTGAAGGAAGAGGTGGAGGGTGATTTGGAGGGGCAGGAGCTGCTGATTGGAGATGATGATGGCGAAGAGGAGCAGGAGCAGGAAGAGGAGGAGGAGGAGGAGGTTTTGGTCGAGTTGGAGCCGGACACGAGTAATGAGGTTGTCGGGAGAGTGGAGACGGAGGGCCAAACAGTCGAAAAGGACGTGGTTGAATCGGCCACCGAGGAGGACTCTTCGAAAGCTGCAAACGTTGTTGCTGGGAACGAGGGCAACTCGGCTAAGGTCGAGCAACGCCAGGAGCAAGAAGAGGCAGAGGGGGGAGAGATCGACATGGAGATCGATGATGGAGAAGTACTCGATGATGAGGAGGGAGGCCCCAACCTTCCTGCTGCATCGTCAAAAGACGATGCTGAGGCTAATATCGCGGCTGCGAAGGCACGATTGCTTGCTCAGCTTGATGAGGATACTGCTGCTGCTGACGCTGAAGCTCAACAACGGGAAGATGAGTTGACGAGACAACGACTGAACATGAGAGCGACACTGAACATGATTCTGACTGTCGCCGGTGAGTTTTATGGCCAGAGAGATCTACTCGAGTTCCGGGATCCTTTCCCCGCTCTATAGAGGTAGGAGAACGTGCGCGGGTTTATCGCCGGTTCTTTGCAGAGTCGGACGGCTTGAGTATGTGGACGGCTCTGGAGATGAATTAAGATCCATGAGAGACGAAATGCATTTCACGTTGGCCGTCTATTTACCAGGAACTCATATATGCTTGTCTTGGACCACACGTTATAGGAGTGGATCGAACATTCTTTGATTGGCCTTGATTGAGGTCTAGTCTAGATTATAGGTATGCAAGACTCGTCTAGCGCTTCACGTCCTGTCGAGGGTTCGATATAGATACAAAACAGATGATACAGAGGACGTCTTCCTGTTGGCAATGATCGATGAACTGAACCGTACGCGGCCGAAAGGCTGACAGAAAAAAAGAGAAGGCCACTGGGGCGTATACTCCTGCTCCCATATAAACGAATGCTTACCAGCATCAGCCCCTCGTAACAAACTCCATAAACGCCGCACCGCGAACAATGCACCGAGGCGTAAAAGCCAGGTCGAGATAAAGGAGGATAAGCGTGCAAAAAGAAGAATGCCACCACCACGAAATCAAACAAACACAAGCAAGGAACCGCCGGATCCTGGCTTTACTTAATCCATATCCATATGCCCACTTCTTCCCCCATAATGACTCAGCCCATAATCCAAGAAAGGCGCCTCCTCGAAATCATCTACCGGGGCGACACCAGGAGACTGGGGGACATACCCCCCAAAGTTGATGGTAGTCTGGGTGAACTGAGATCCCCGTCTCTTGGGCACTGCCATTACCCTGCGGTCATTGGCAATAGTATTCGTCTTGTTCCCCCCTCCACACCAAGCCATAGGCTCCAAGCTGCGCGGGGCTCTCTCCTCATCTTGGTCATCGTAAAACTCCTCGCGACGACGCCAATCCATGTCCTCGCCAAAGAGTCCTGCACCGCCTTCTTCGCTGCTTCCGTCTTCATGGATGCGCTTGCGATTGGCAGCATCCTGGACCTGCGTCATCGCGAAGCGGATTGAAGAAGGATTGCTAATGGTGCTGCTGGAGTTCGAATTTTGACTGCTCAAAGCAGCGCTGTCGTTGTCTTGGACGGCGTACCCGCCGATTTTGTGGATCCCGCAAAAGGGGGTGAGTTCCCGATTGGCACTGGCGGCGGCGGCGGGGGGTGCAGGAGGCGCGGCCGATACTGGACGGTTGTGGCCGTTGTTTCCCGCCAATGCACTTGCGCCAGAGCCCGCAATATGATTTCTGTTGTTGGTGTTGTTACTGTCATCCATCCAGGAGGGAAACCCTGAGGCAATCTTGCCGGTCTTGTAGCCCTCCGGAACGGACTTGCGCACGCGCATGCCAACGTTCAGAAGACTTGATCGGATAGTGGGCGAGAGGACTGGACCATTTAACGGAGCAGCGGCCGTAGTGGGCGATGCACCGCTGGTAGAGTCGAATTGCGAGTCATCGCTGGTCTGTGTGGTTTTGAAGAATGAGGTAATTGACCGTTGGGCCGGGTCGCTCGCTGCGCCGGCGAACTGGCGTTTGGTTCGGGAGTTGGACATTGGAATTGGTTGGATTGTCGGGTGGTGGATCTGACGCCGTTCGGAGGATGATTTGGGGTTGGATCTCGGAAGGTGATTAGGGTTTGAACTCGTAATCAGACTGAAGGCTGTGTATGGGATTGAAGAGGGTTTGTTTGGTGGTGTCGGGAGAGTTTCCTTTTGGTGGGAAGAGCAGGAAGATGACGTGGGAAGTGATTCGAAGGGGGTGTGACAAGGATATGGGGGAGCCCTGAAGATGCAAGCACTCAAGCCAGTCAGCCAACCGTTGGGTCGTTGGGGCTTGGGGTTCACCACTCACGAGTCGGGTTGCCGGAAGCGATCCAGTCGCATGAGGAGGGTCACGGTGTGTTCATGTGGGTCTGGCCAGGCCTCTTGCATTTGACGTTGAGGACCTTGACGAGCACTCACGACCAAGTTGCCTTTGCCGACCGCCGTAGACGAGACCAGCTCCGCCCTTATTGGCCAGAACCGGGAGCCTGGCACCGCAGGGCTTCAACGCCAACGGCAAGGGGATATGACGATGGTGAGAATGTAAGGCCCAGTCTGGTTTGTTTTTTATGTTCGAAACCTCTGATTAAAGGCCATTGCCATAGTTTGTACTATCGTGAGGTGCTAGACTAGTGGTGGCCGAAATCGACGATAAGAAGCAGGTCTTCCCTAAACCCACATGCCATTCCCAAACAGGCACAGCGAGCAGGGCCGGACAACTGTCTCCGAACGTCACTGCTGGATGATGTTCTCGCCTGGGTTGGCATTCTCTCGGCTGGTTACACCTAAACTTGATCTTGTCACAAAGGTGCTGATTGGACAGGTTGCATCTTTTATCAGGATCCTTCATTCATGTGATCATACGTGCGTCTGGTGGTTGATAACTCTCTTTCATCGATGAACTGCAAGACGCGCTGCAGGTGGCCATTTGCGCCTTGACTCTTAGTGTAGCTTGAGCCGTTGATAGTTGTGCTTTAAAACCATGTTGGCGAAGCAATGACTGAAGTTTACAATGCCAGATACATTGCGGTACGGGAACCAGCAGCGTAATGGACACTTGTGACGGGCTGGCTCATGGGACTGAATAAGATTTACCGTCGATTTCGACTGTATAGCAGAGCTGCGAGTGTTATCGTAATTCACAACCCTAGTAGAGACATCAATGTAAATACGTCCCCAACCTACTTTCCAGACCGCTATTTGACCCTATACAACTACGCATTATTTCGTCAAAGATAACACGGGAGGCATAAACGGGACATACACCGGCTCAGAACAAAGATATCACAATACATCACAACAGAATATGGTAGGACACGTGTCGTGGATTCTCGTAGATTCGTACCCGGGCAGTGTCCTCCCCATAGCCTGTCCACTGCGCTAGGTATGGAAACAACCAAAGCAATCCGCATCGCGGCTTGTCAAATGCCATCCGCCCATGGCACGTAAGTCGGGGCAATCATAAAACATGTGCCTTTTCCGACTATCCACCCAAGCAGGCTAACCGGCCTGCACGTCAAGACACCAGCAGAAAACGCGCGCAAAGATCGAGAAAGACGAGGATGATGCAAGATATCCGGACCCCTAAACGCCCTCCCAATTTTGTTGTGCGCGCGAGGTACATCTTCTGGCGAATCCATCTTCTGTCCGCAACGAGATTGATTGACGATCGAGTATGATATTTCTATGCGCCCGACTGGCAGAAGCCTTGCAGATACCAAGATGTCCCCATTACCACGCCGTTATGCTGAAGAAAAGAACCGACCCTCGATCCGTCTACTTGCGGCGGAAAGAGCAGCCCTCGGTGAGGCGAGCCTTACCACCGGTGGGCTGGCAGAGGACAGTGGTGCAGCCCTGGCAGATGACGACGGTCTGGGCGTGGGAGAAGACAGTGGTGATGGTGAAGCAGCCGGGGCACTTGACGTCCATGAAGAAGGAGCGGGGGGCAGGCACAAGGGTCTGTGACGCGTTGTCAGTATCATGTCGCGGCTAGGAGGCCGTGATGTATTCAAATCGTCGGGGATCGATGCGGCATACCTTGAGCTTGTGCTTGCGGGCCTCGGAAGCCGGGCTGGGGTTGAGGAGATCAACGGCGAGAACCTTGAGAAATCAAACTGTCAGCATCACAGCCTATGTTTAAACATCGAAACAACCCTATTTCCATCAAATCCAGCGCTTTCCTCGGCGTCCATTTTCGCCCAGATGTCCGCCATAGTCGTTATTTTCGATTTCCACCGCTGTTCCACTCGTTTCTCCGTCCGTGTCGATGCACATTTCTCGTCGTAGAAAAATGGCCAAAAATCCCAAGAATGCGTTTCCATCGCCAAAACTGCAAAATCGAAAATGGCAGGGTCTTACCATCTTGACTGATTATTCGATGTCGAGACAACGAGCTTTCGGTTGAATGATGAAATCTGGTGGGATTGGCGGCAGATTTGTGCTCGTTGGTGGTTGAAAAAGAGGGGAGGTCGAACCTAGCAAGACACAAAAGTTCAGGCAAATTTTCGGTCTGTGAGGAGCACACGCAAAAGTGGCTAGGCTTGGCAGGCGACAGTTAGGGCTCGGTTTTTAAACCAATTAGAAGCCCTGCTGCACAGACCTTGGCTGTCAAAGTGGGGCCCAGAATTGCCACCTTCGCTGGGCGATTCAAAGGCTCGTTCAGTGGGGGGTGCAAGGCTCTCGCTGTGACGCTGCATGGATTCCCGGGGGACGGCCCACTGGACTGGGGTGGGCTGGCGGACAAGGCGGGGCAGTGATGAGATGGGGATGTCAACAGAGGAGCAGACCGCCCGCGTAAGGTAGTGGACATGCCAGCGAGGCCAGACAGCTCCAAAGGGGTCACTTTTCGAATCGCAAAGCGACATCTCCTCCGTCCCAAGCAACCCTTCTTCTTACAAGTACCTTTACACCACCAAGGTCGCGACACCAGTTCACAGCTGCGTGCCGGATACCCCTTAGATTTGAGGCCCATTCCCTTTTGACAAGCTCCGGCTCTGTGAGCATCATCGGCATTTTCCCAAACACTCCGCAAATTCGCCCCTCCTTCAAGTCGACAATACCCCTCGACCGCCACGCACGTCCGAGATGGCCGCCCCGGGAGACCAGCGCATAGCTGTTCCTATCGACGACCCCAACGCCGACACAGAATGGTGAGAGACAGAGAGGCACACCCTCGCGGTCAAGGCGCGCTTACAGTTCTGTAGGAACGATATCCTTCGCAAGCATGGTGTTATCCCGAGAAGCCCCCTAGCCCAACGCCTATGATCCAGGAAGCTATCGAGGAGGCGCGCCGACTTGCACACGAGAACAGGCTTGAAGGCAAGGACCTGGACGAGCTTGACGAACTTGAAGACGAGGAGGACGAAGAGTTCCTGGAGATTTACCGCCAGCAGAGGATGAAGGAGCTCAGCGCACTGCAAAAGAAGTCGGTACACGGTAGCGTCTACCCCTTATCCAAGCCCGAATACTCCCGCGAAGTCACCGATGCGTCACAGAACGGACCAGTGTTTGTCCTCCTTACCTCCTCCTTGGGCACCAACGTCGAGTCGAGAGTTCTGTCAGAGCTGTGGCGCCAGGCAGCAAGGGAGTACGGCGACATCAAGTTCTGCGAAATGAGAGCGTCGCAAGCTATCGAAAACTACCCTGAGCGCAACTGTCCTACGATTTTGGTCTATAACAAGGGGGATATTGTCAAACAGGTTGTGACGCTCATGACAATGCACGGTGTCAAGACCAGCATGTTGGACATCGATAAGCTACTCGTCGATGTTGGGGCGATCCCTGACAATGACATGCGGGTTGCCAAGAGAAGGAGGGAGGTTCAGGATGCGGAGGAGGAGAAGCTCTTTAGCAAGAACATCAGAAGCACCTCTGACCACAAGGAAGAGGACGACGATGACTGGGACTAAGCCGGGCGCGACATAATACGCCACATCTCCTTGTATCATCACGGCCGTCCGAGCGAGGAGATACGATACCATTTCGAGGTTGAACTCAGCGTGCCCGACCCGGGAGAAAAGCCACACGAAAAGAATTAGGGGCCTCCAAATGTACGCCGGTGCCACACGACGCCGCGTACCAGTTACGATTCACTGGACATAATAATCACTAGACGTTTTAATCGGAGCAGATGCTCCAATGCCAAAGTCCCCAAGGTTGCAAATAATTCGAGATGGTCGTTGCCAGACCTTATACTCTGACTTTAACCCTGTAGCAGGAGTTCATCAAACTTAATTCGAGGCACTAACCCGAGGAGGCTCGACAGCTGATTTTGACTTCTCTCACATTGGCCCTTCTCTCTATTCATAGGCAGGTTCATCAAAGGTGTGGAGCTGACATATGTATAGGGATATCAAAACGTGTCAATGGTGTAATGGTACACCTTGATTAAGAAAAGTGTCCACCAAGCGCACGGTCCGAAGATGACAGACGGGCGCTTTCAGTTTCCGGCTCATCTTGTATTCCCTCTTGGCTGAGGTCTGCCACCCTAACCCTGTCCCGTGCCTTTTCGGGAAGCCTTTGAGAGAGGCACATACCCTAGGTGTCTATATCCTTTGGAATCTTATCCATCTCCAGGATCCCCGCTGTTGTGCCTTTCTGCCATGGAGTTTTTAACCATCTCGTCGTTTGAAGTTCAAAAGCGGAGTAAGCCTCAACGGGCACTGCTTATCTTCCTCTACCCCAACCCAGGAAGTCTATCTAGTGTACTACACTAGCTACCTCACCAATAACTGTGGGTGGTGGGACTCTTGATGGAACCCTTTGTAACGCCAAGACAGAGAGCCATTGTTTCCCCCCGCTCCCATACTCTTTGTGCATAGCATGTCCGTTCACCGAGCAACCGGTAATCAGATTTTGTTCTTCGAGACATATCAGGTATGGGTTGCAATAGCGATATTGGGTCGGTTAAGCGCCTTCATGCGTGGGATCAAGCTATTCGCTATGCGCTCAATCTTTAGAGCTTTGGATTGGCCTGTCGGTAGTTGAGGCTGGGCTCAAGGTGCGCCATCAGGCACACAAGGAAGGCGAGGCAGAAAGGTTGTTCGTTATAAACTTTCAGCTCGTTACTCCTCGCAGACCTGAAACTTCCTCAGATCAATCTCAATACCACACCGCCCAACCCTCTGAACTTTTTCTGAACTTTAACTAACGCGTGTGGAGATTTCTGACCATGGCGCCCGGTCAGTATGCTCCCTGTAACTTTTGGCGTAATCATGACAAAAGCTGATTGTCTGGCAGGAGGCCCATCGCAGTCCGGGGTTATCAGCGGCCGGGTGACCAAGTCAGTGCCGTCAACTCCAGGAAAGCCAAAGCCATCACAGAGTAGCAATACTGGCAGCACAGGCACCGGGAGATCTGGGAAAACTCCCAAATGGAAATATGGTTTTTGCCCGGAATGCCGCTTCGGCCATCTCGTGAGGAAGCAAATCAGCCTGGACCATCCCAACCAGAACATTGCCGGGAAGTATCGACTCAGCTGCAGCGACAAAGAGAGAAAGGGTTGCACGTATTACAAGATCTGGAACACAGACCCCATGCTTACAGCTCCACCGCCACCCTCCAAAAAGGCCATCTGCCCGCAGTGTACAATGGGTCGACTCGTCAAGAAGTGCTTGAATCCCTTTAACTTCAAGGAACAGTGGATGGAGTGCGACAGAAAAGACGCAGCGGAACGGCCATGCGATTACCGTGAAGACGTGCACGACAAAGCACTTCAGAACACGGGAGCGCTACCCGGAACACAACCCACGGGACGCCCCTCCGACCATGATCACGATGGGAAGAAGCTGGACAAAGGGAAAGCGCCTGAACGGCACCCAGCGAATATAGCAAGGCCAGGAACAGGGGGTCCAGAACCCGAGGCTGGACCAGTTCGAGCTGCAGAAATGGCCATAGACCTTACTGAAGATGGTCAATTCACGCCCGGAAGATCACTCTCTCCTGTACCTGTCGCTCCAACTGTCAGCGACGCCGCGGCCGCCGATTCCATCGACTCTGCCCCTGGCCCTGAGGAGGACACAAAGTCAAGATTCGTCGAGACGGCCGCAGATATTATTTCTTCCCCAACTGTCGTCGATCTGGTCTCGGATATGTCGTCGCAGGTATCTGACATGGCAGGACCGGGGGAAGGCTCGCCAAAGGAGGTGGAAGTACTTGCAAAGCCTCAAAACCAGGCATCTGGCAAACAACAGGATGCTTATGAGGACGAGTTCGACTCCTCCGATGATGAAGAGCTTGCTCGCTTGACCGATTACATTTACACTTCTGCCCGAAAACCATCGCCGCAAGTAGGAGTAAAGCCAGAATCTCCTAGCAGCCCTATAGCGAAGATTGAGAGGGACGACTGAGATCAGCCCACAGTCTCTACTGAAGCATCCAAGTTATGCAGCCCTTTATCACCTTTACAGGGTTTTCAGTTAAAAGTGGTCAAGGGGATTGCAACAATGGAGGTGCGTACGCGGGAACAGCCGACGGGAACAAGCACCGTGGCGCCGGAAAGGTGCCCGACGCACGCGGAGCACAAATGAGCACGATCGGGGTAACCGAAACCAAAATAATGATAGCGGAGGGAGGCGACGGCACCCAGCACCATGTTGAGGACTCAAGCCTGAAATCACGAAAGCACTACATTTCTGTATTGCCCTGAACGTTTGTCTAACACCATCAGTGGGGCTCTACGTCTATCGATATGTGGGGTACATGTGGGGCAGAACTTGTAAGGAAGCTCGGATCTCTGCAAACGCGTTTCCATGTTTATCGTTGGAAGCGCGTTGAAGGCATCCAAGGGGAATGCAGTTAAATGCGCAGAAACGCGTCAGTTCTGGAAGGACGTTGCCAGATCAGTCTTGCCTCGATCGGGTATCATGCATGGACTTTGTGCCTGTTTTTTACTGGTAATTACATATAGCTCAGAGGCCAGGGAACAATCACTCACCGTTTCTTTTCTTCCTTTCTTCTTTCGTCAAGTATCAACATCTGCAGCTGCTTTATTCAAATCAGCGTAGCGACCCGAAAGCACGGAATCACAGCTTGAAACAATCTTTTCCAGTGTCCGTTTTCTTCTTGGTGTTGCCGACACTTTTTTTTACTTCCGCTGTCAATTGTCTGAGACACTGCAGTTGTCAACCACATCTTGTCCAATCTTGTATGCTCTTCCTCACCCTTGTCTCACACCATATATCAGCTTGCGTATGGTAACGGGCACTTGATACCGGCTGCCCCCTCCCCCACCTTGTGCTTGTACCACATACTGGTATCTGTTGGGTAACCCGATTCACATTCCTCGGCCAATCCGTTTTATCAATATCATCACGATAATCACACCGGCAGGGTTTCCGTCATGGAGGTGGACGAGCCCACGTTGCCGTCTTTGCCAGTTCCAGACGAACTGCCCGCCTTTACCACAAATATCCCAGGGGTACGCAAGCGGTCCCGTGGCTACTATGCCCCTCCTCCTCCTTCGCCTGGTATGAGCAGCTCTAGTGACCCTGCATACTTTTCGAGCGACGATGATCCCGCTTTGGACAATTACTTGCAAGGGCGGCGGAAGAGGAGATATGTAGGCTCGTGGTTCGACCAAGTACCGGCATCCTCCGACTCTGTCATGGGTGACGATGCAGATCCCGGTCCATCGTCAAATCCTCGGCACAAGCGTCACTTGAAGCGACAACCCGACAGCGGCGTCTGGGTCGGCCAAGACGCGGCAACCGATACCGATGGTGATATCGATCTGCCGCCACTTGCTGCACGACTTCCTCTCCCTCTCCCAGTCGCCAAGCGTACACCGAGATTAAGTTCAGAAGAGCAACGCGCACAAAATGTTGTCTTGGCATGTGTAGACGATGGTCGGGAAGACGTCGACCTGAGGTGAGCCAGCGAGGTCAAGGCACTGCGGCACTACCCCTTTCGCGAACCGTCATTGTGGAAGAGGACAAGCTAACTTTTGGTAGCCAGATGGGTTTGGCCTCGATCGCCGACTCCGTTCTCGAACCACTTGCGGGCCTGACCCCGATCCCTGTCGTGGAAAAAGATGTTCCATTCGTACCCAGAGATCCGAGCCTTAAACTATTCTTGGGAAACAATCAGCTGTCGAGGTTTCCTAGCGCTCTCCTCGACCTCCAGCACTTAACCGTACTCAGCCTTCGAAACAACAAGCTGGCCGAACTGCCGCCCGCCATTGCAAAGCTGAAGAACCTGACAACCCTCAACATCGCCAACAATCGGTTACGCCATTTACCAGGAGAGCTAATAGACCTAATGGAGAGTGCCATTGGGTTTCACACTCTGAATATCCACCCTAATCCTTTTTTCCAACCAAAAGACCGGCGATACTTCTTGGCCGATGACTTGATGCAACACGAGTACGAATATCGCACAAGAGGGAGTGTGATTCATGGATTCTTGGTAGACCGGGACCGGGGCGAAAACTTCACACTCTTCACTACGGCGCTACGAGCCCGCACACCGGTCCAATTCTCCAACAGTGCCGGCCACGTTCTCAGCAAGTTCATTTTCCCCGAGAAAACTCAGCGTCTCACGGATAGTTCGAAGCAGCTTGAAACAGAAGACTTTGGATCGTTGGCCATACCGCAAACAGTAAAGCAACATCTTGAATCGTTGGGGGGTTCGAAGCGGTCTTTTCAACCCAAAGGCCCATCATCGCTCCTCGCAACAGCAATGCGAGTTGCCGCACGGTCCAAGGACGCAGAGTCACTACCCAATTTTCTAAGGAGCGACGGATGCCCGTCACATCTTGCTGATCCGCTGGAGCGTGCCATTGTCATGGATAAAATGGGTGGCCAGCATTGCACGGTTTGCAAGCGGGAGACACTCTGTCCGGTAACTGAGTGGATCGAGTTTCGCGAGGTTCGGAGCACGACCGTTGAAAAAATAACAAGTGCTGAAGGTACAACAGAAGCGCGCATTCGACACAGGAATATCAGCGGGCGTGAAGACGAAGCATGGGTGCCTTTCCTTCGAAGAGGATGTTCTTGGGCTTGTACACCCAACGTTCTAGATTCTTCGGATGTAACACATCATACAATGCTGTAAGGTGTCTAGTTGATTTTCTGAACGAGCGGTCAATGCTATCGGTCATTGGGGTTAGGTTCTTGATTTATTGTATCTGTGGTTTGGGTCGGCAGTGCTAGGCGTATGGCGAACTTTTACGAACTAACTCAGTTTAGGCAGTGGCTAGCAACCAAGTTGTCTGTGGTTTGGGATCATTAAATGTGCTGATCTCGGACGGTGCATATCAGACTTCCAGGAGGGTAAATTTATTGCATCGCGTCAGCAGCGAACTCAAATACGTTACTAGGTAGAAACCGTAGATATCGCGGTGTCACCTCCTTGAACTGAAGCTTCCCTTTCTGGATCCAATGTGAATGTTTATGGAGATCCATGCCAAGGGAAGGATCTGGATGGCGCTCCACCAGTATAGCAGCGGGGAGCTCTGGACAGGGGAGCGCCCTTTGGAGTTCGGGGACCCCCGCTTTAATTGACGCTTTCAGGTGCTACGACTCCCCTCCTACAGGGGAGAGCTAAGGTTGTTTCAACGTCACAATCCGTCTTCCCAACATTGAGAGGAGCCGGGCAGCTCCATCCAATTGTCCTCTCGCGTCATTTGTCTCTTTACACTGGGTCGGTGTTTTTCTGCTGCCCAATTCGAGCTTCTATCAAGCATCGTCAACAAAATCGATTGCTTTTGCCACGACACTTTCCAAGCCACTCAAATGCTAATGGCGATCGCGTTTCCGTAACTGCACTTCTCCAACTTATCAATTCCCAACATTCCTGGCCGCGGAGCCAAACCGATATGCACCTCCCGACCCAGCTATCGGCGCTCCTCCTGGTCGCGCTGCCATCTGCGGTGCGTGCCGTCTTCCAGGATGAGGTCGGCCACATCGACTACCATTACGAGCTCCTGGGCCTCCCCCAACGCGAAACCACCTTCTTCCACAAGCCGAGGCGAGACGACAAGGCGAGCCTGCTCTATACCCTAAGCGACGTTGGCGTGCTCGGCGCCGTCAATCCCAGCAGCGGGGCCGTCCTTTGGCGACAACTGCTCAATGGCACCATCACGGACGGCGGTGGCTTCTTGCGCGCGGGCGAAGGCCAAAACTGGCTGGCCAGCGCCTACGGCCAGTCGGTACACGCGTGGGATGCCGTAAACGGGAGAAATAAGTTCTGGATGGATTTTGCGGGGGAGGTCAAGGACCTGGAGGTCATGGAGATGACTGAAAATAACAGGAAGGATATCCTGGCTTTATTCGACGAGAACGAGTCGACTGTGCTCAGGAGGCTGAGTGGCAACAACGGAAGGGTTGTGTGGGAATATAAGGAGACCTCCGGTGACGTGCCCCTTCAGATCAGCACCAATGTTGAGAAGGCCTTTGTCATTAGTCTTCGCGGATCTGCCGGCGCCTACAACATCAAAGTCACCATCCTCGATGCCCTCAGCGGGAAGCGCGAGGATGAGCTGGTGCTTGGAACCAAGGCGGATGTTCACGATAAGGACGATGTCATTCTCGTCGGTGCCAACTCTGCGGCTCCTATTATTGCTTGGACCGACGACACTCGTCAACAGCTACGTGTCAGTGTTCTGGGGCAAAAGACTCGGCAGGAATTCGCCCTGCCCGCCGACACTATCTCCGTCGAAATCCATGCTCCCCATCTTGTCCAGTCTCAGCCGCATTTCCTGGTGCACAGCAAAACCTCTACCGGCCATATTGCTGAGGTGTACCACGTTGATCTTAGGACAAACGTCATCACCAAGGCTTATCAGCTCCCTTTTACTTCTGGACCCGGCGCTTTCTCCACCAGCTCTAACGGTGCGAATGTCTACTTCACTCGTATTACTAACGAGGAGCTGGTCATTTTCTCGTCTACCTTGGACACCGTGCTCGGGCGGTGGCCCCTGAAGACGACCGAATCCAGGCTGGTTGCCCTTCATGGAGTCTCCGAGGTTGTGAAGAAGGCCGGCACCGATAGCTATGCCGTCAGGTCGGCTGCTGTTACAGATACTGACGAATGGATTCTTATCCGCAACGGAGACGTCGTCTGGTCTCGTCCTGAAGGCTTGACCGGAGCTGTTGCGGCCACTTTCGTGGAGATTCCTGAGAGTGAAAACCTCGCCAAGACTTTGGAACAGGAGGCTCACAGCAACCCTCTCGAGGCTTACATCCATCGCGTCAAGCGTCATCTTGAAGATCTCCAGTACTTGCCCACGTACCTTAACAACATCCCTACCCGCTTGATGAGCAGTATACTTGGCACTGAGGTCTCTTCCCACCATGTTAAGCTTGCCCGGGACAGCTTTGGTTTCCACAAGCTCGTTGTTTTGGCTACAAGGCGCGGTATGATCTACGTCCTTGACGCCGGTGACCACGGAAAGATCCTGGCTACTAAGAGGGTCTTCGACCTGCCCAAGGGCCAGAAGTGGGCTGTTGCTGGAATCAAGGCGGATGACTCTACGGGCATTGTCACTATCCTTGGAACGAACAACGATGAGACAACTGTTAAGATTCTCCCGGGTGCCTCGTTCAATATAGAGGTGTTGAGCAAGGGGCCGGGGGGTTCTCCTGCGACCCAGAGCGCTGCTCTTCTCAACACCGTTTCTGGACCTCGCCTCTTCCCCGTTGGTTTGGATGGTGAACTTCAAGGCCTGACCTCCGACATACTCCCTAACCAGGTTGCTGTGGTCCGCGGCTCCGATAGAGAGTTGAAGGGCGTGGCGATTACTAACGGAAAGCAAACCGTCTCTTGGACTTTCGTGTTGCCCAAGTCTCAGAGAATTGTCGACATTGCTGCCAGACCTTGTCATGACGCCGTTGCCTCCATTGGTCGCGTCCTCGGTGACCGAACTGTGAAATACAAGTACCTTAACCCCAACACCCTTGTTGTTGCCGCAGTCGAAGAGAGTACCAAGATTCCTTCTCTCGTTATCTATCTGCTTGACACGGTCTCCGGACAGATCTTGGCCTCCTCCAAACACGAGGGCGTTGACCCCAACAAGCACATTGAGTGTGCCATGGCGGAGAACTGGTTTACTTGCACCTACTTTGGCCAGTACCGCCTCAGAGACGGCGCCCAATCTCTCAAGGGATACCAGATCGTCGTCTCCGATCTTTATGAGACAGACAAGCCCAACGATAGAGGTGTCCTTGGTGACGCCGAGAACTTCTCTTCTCTTGGGCCCATCGATGCTCCGGGTGACGTCCCTCTGCCTTCGGTCGTCTCTCAAACTTTCATTCTCAGCGCTCCCATTTCCGCGCTGGAGGTCACGCAGACCAGACAGGGTATCACTTCTCGCCAGGTACTGGCGTATCTCCCGGAGAATCACGGTATCGTCGGTATCCCGCGCATGGTCCTCGAGCCCCGCCGCCCTGTTGGCCGTGACCCTACCGCCGCCGAGGTCGAGGAAGGCTTGATCAAGTACCACCCCGCCATTGAGATTGACCCCAAGAGCGTTCACACCCACGAGAGGGACGTAATTGGCGTGCAGAAGATCATTGCCGCGCCGGCAGTTGTGGAGAGTACCAGCTTGGTGTTCGCTTATGGCATCGATGTGTTTGGGTCGAGGGTAGCGCCGAGCTTCCTATTTGATATTCTCGGCAAGGGCTTCAACAAGGTCACTCTTATTGGAACTGTATTGGCGATTACGGCTGGTGTGATGATTTTGAGCCCGATGGTAAGCAAAAACCTTGTGTGATAAGTGGAAGCAAACATCAACTAACAGGTTGTCTTTTCAGGTTCGGAAAAAGCAAATCAACGCACTTTGGGGTGCTCCAATGTAAAAGTAGGTTTTGAAGTTGGTGTATGGCTCCCAATGGATGTGACGGCGCTATGATTATATGGAAGGATTACACATAAAGATGGAACAGAAACGTTTTAATGACATGGAATTAGCAGTGCATACCTGTTTCGGGACTCAAATAACTGGGTTCGTAAGTTTCGATCCCTCAATGGCCATTCAGTAGAGCTATGCGACGCTCTTCGGTCCAGTGTGGGCCAGTGTGTGTAAACATTTATCACATCAATCCTTTTCAATGATTCTTTGCTCTTTGCGCATCTCTCCTCAAATTCTTACAGTTATCTTTCGCGACAACTTTCATTGTTCATGCTCTATCACCGCACCCATCATATGGAACCTGGCCATGCCAGTTCACTCCTTCCTTACCACGTTCTTCATCTTTGGCCGCTCCTCCCCACACAACAATCCTCCATTATCATAGGGATCGAAGCCCTGTCAGGTTCCAACACTACGAACAGAGAACTGGAAGGTCTTTCACCGGCGGCGTCCAATACCACTTAAGCTTCCTTGAATACCTTCGTTAACTCTTCAGAGGTAACCTTTTTTTTTGTCACAACCCAACATTGACCGCCGCCTCTTCCCATAATGCTCAGCATTTGCCCAACGATTATGATCATTCGTTGGATATCTTCGTGAAGCTTGCCCCTGGCTCCATCATGCAATCTTCACAACCCGGCCATGCCAGTCCGCTATTTTCTAGAATTTTCAAGTTCTGTGAATGACAAGATTTTGCTCGGGCGAAAAACTCGGTGACGGTAGTCGCTTGTGTAGTCTGGATTGTTGTCATTCTGCCCGTTGCTTCTCTGCCGACGAAGAGCGCGAAACGTAAGTAGCACCACGGCGCTTGATTTGACATCACCTGGTTCATCTGTCACACCGCACCATGATCACCCATGTATCATCCGAAACAACTCGACGCGGCTTGATAGCCTCTCATCCAGTCATCATGGATACTCGTGCCCGCCCGAACGGCCTTCCTCCTTACCCAGTCGGACCGCCTTGCTCACCCCTATGGCATCTATCAGCGAGAGACGAGCCCCTTCATCTTCTACAGCCTCTTGACTTTTCACTCCCTAGCTAGGCGTCAAGTCTTCCCGCCTCCTGCCGTCTTACTGTCCAATACAGTGACGGATAGACCCAGTACAAGGACCTGAGTGAACGCTCGACGTCCCGGCCGAGCTGAAGCCAGACGTGATACTACCCGTCCTCCATGCCGATTCGACTTTCGAGGCTCCACAAACACCAGTCATTCTAATCATGCCACTGATCGTCTAGAAATTTGCCGTCCCGTGGTTTTCGCCGGAGCCACTCAGTCATTAATCCAGACTCTGGGTAACCTTCACGCCCTTCTTCACCGAACAACTGACCAGTCGAACTTGGAAAGTGAAGCCGACACCTTCCTTTTCGACACCATCCCCGACAAGGCAACCGCACTTGTCAAAACGATGACTCGCGAGTACGCGTTCTTGAAAAGATTTCTCTCCTTGTTCGCCCCATTGGATAGAGCTCTCTAAAACTTCGGGGCCATCGTGGCGATTGTGGGGTTGCCACAAGTACTCAACACTTGGGACTTTCGACTTGGGCGAGCATCGGAGTAGTTGTAAGAGAACGCGTCATACGCGTATGCGAAGGTGATCGTGATGGTGGGCCGATAGCGTTGACGAGGTGGAAGAGCCTGGACAAGAGCAGCACTGCCACATCCAAGAGCTGCTAAGATGCTAGGCCTTCAGTATTGCTAAGGACCGAGAAGCTGCTGATCGTGTTTCCAGTCATAACCGGTGCTTGATCTGAAAGCATAATGGACAGTCAGTCTCTCAAGTTGGACGTTCACACTGAGTGGCGATTACACATGTTCCGGAGATTCGGTTTGAACCGTTTACTCAGCTTCAAGGTTGTTACATAAACTAGGTATTTATGATTTAGCCACGTGGTGGCTGTGCAGAGTGCTCTCCATGTAGTGCATTATGTTACAGCCGGGAGGTAACGCCACCGCTGCTACGCCATCCCCTTTTGCCTCTTCTTAGAAGCGCAAATTCAGTATTCATGGCGCAAATAGTATGTACCAACCATCGTGTTCCCCGGCGAGCCCGGGCCCTTATTTTCGGTTTAATAGTTCAGGAATCGAATTGTTCCGGTAAGTCCGATTGGCTTATATACTAACCGGATGCCATGCATGCTTCGGCCCGCTATCAGCCTCAACACAGGCGACCTGAGGCATTGATACGGCCATAGTAAGCATCTCCTCAGCTGAATGCGCTGCTATCCCAACTAATAATGTTCAAGGACCCCGGATTCAGCGTGCTATACATGATTGCCATTATGACAGGCGTAAAGGAGTACCGTTTTTCCAGCTGAATATTCTCGAAGGCTGTACGCAAAGGAGCACATGATCTGATAGTTGCGAGACCCTCTTCAGCTTCAAAGTCACATTTTGAGCCGAGAAAATGGCGCCTCGGGTAGATTGCCTTCCATTTCGACATCAACGCCATCGTGCGACCAGACGCCGTGTTTCCCCAGTCAGCCTGCTATATAGTGTGAGATGCACAGGTTTCGCCGCGATTCGGTGTCGGGACTAGAAACAACAAGGCGACCAAGACCGTGAAACTAAGGTATGGCGGTTCGAAGGTCCCGTCTCGTGGCGGTCTTATTCAGCTCCTGGCGGTCTTATTCGGCTCCTGTCGGCCAACTAGATCTGGTAGTTCAGGAAAGCAAGACACAAGGTTCGTTGTGAGGCCGGCGTGGGCGCAAAATCGGAGTCGAGCAAGGCTTGGAGCAGCAAGACTGAGATCCTCGTGATCCGCAGGTCCTTAGCGCTACCTACATCGTCATCTCATCAATTAGTCGTCGCCAGGAACCTTTCTCCGACAGAAGGCAACTCGTGCCATCAACTTACTGTCCATGCACGGCCAATGAAGTTGCTTGTGTCATCACTCGTCGGGCAAAGAACGCCTCGACACGTATAGCCTGCCATGCGTGCAATCAACCCGAAGCCCCAGATCTTCCGGTACCTAATCAAGGTAATCTGAACATCCTCCGTGGTATAACAGGCGAGTGTCTTCCTAGAGGCCAGTGGTTGGATCATATGGGTGTTGAGAATCCCCAAATTCAGGCAACAATACCCTATGTTTTGTCGATCATCGTTGCCAAGTCGTACCATCCCGGCGGCTTAGCTGACAAAAACATACTTTGAAATGCTTAGGGCTGCCCCGGAAAACCCAAGCTCAAATTAGAATGCCAACAAGCATCCAACGACTCGGTGCCAATGACTTGGTTCGGGGCAACAAGGCATTCTCCGATTGAGAAAGGATACCTTCCGACCTCCTGTTCTTAATGCCTGATCCGAGAAAAATTGGGTGAGGTAGACGTGGCGCTGGATGTAGAGTGTTCCGACAACGTAGAATTTGCTCATTGGTTAGCTGATAAACCCTGGCTGTGCCTTGGTCCTAAACAACGTGGTAGAGAGCCGCTTGTCGGATAAGGACTTACGGTCTGATTTTGGTGCCTGCGAGGTTGTTAAAGCTTCGAGGTTTCAGTTGGGCGTTTTTGTTACTTCCACCGTGTTCTAACTGCCACGTAAACGGCGGTGTGTATATAAGTCAGACACAAGCGCCATCCTGAGTGCAGCTCCCTGCCTGCTTGCTACCCTTCAAACTAGCGCACAGGAATCGAGCCGATTGTTCCCCGGGGCAAATAGCAGCAGATGCTAATGCAATGAGCAAGGAATCTGGATTCAGCTGGGAACGACGAATTCGGATGGTGCATCAGTACTTGGACGCCTTACGCACCAAAACAAGCATATCGAGAGTCAAAGCAAGGCAAATGTCTCTAATCGATCACTGTTGAATGCTGGTTTCGGCCGTTGAGTTGCGTATCGAGGGTTATGGAGGCGGCCGAGTGAGCAAGGGAGACTTGCGTGTCCAGGTATGTAGAGCATTCGTCTGATCAAGGCTTCGGTGAGAAAAGTCCTAGTTACTAGACGTGTGGATTTCTTTTGATGGTGAGATATACTGCATTTATTCCGTTCGAATCACTGGAACCGATTCGTAGAAAATTTCGGCGGAAAGTTTTTAGCGATTCGTTATTTCTCGGTCGGGCAGTCAAGGAAACTGAAAACCCAACGAAGTACCCCAACAAAGCGCGTATGAAGAGTCGAAGGACTCCAACGAGGCCTTGGCCACGATATATATCCATTGGAATCAACTGTTCTATCAGTGGTCTACTTCAGCTCGAAAGCTGCTGGTAGGTAAACACTGGACGACGAGAAGCGAGGGCCTGAACATCTTTGTTAGCCTCTTGTTAAACCACTCAACACTTGACTGACCCACTCGCATCAACCGATTTCTGGCGTTTGATGTATAGAACATGTTTTCGACCTTGTCGTGCATGATGCCTTCCAAGTTCGACGGGGGTTCGCCGCTGTCAGATCATGGGCGGTCAGGAACATATGTGAGAATCTCCTGACAAGTGTATGGTGCCCTTTGACAATTACCAGTGTCAGTGAAACGCGTGAACGGGGCCAAAAGGGATGAAAAGATTTTTATAGGGATATGTTATTCCGCAATTTGTTCTCCAACGGAGTGGCCCGTTATGCTCTGTTGAATGACGCTTCTCTTAGAGGGTGCCAAGAAATATACCATACCCTCGATATCATGAAGTATCGTGAATTTGATCACAATGGATAGCTGTTTGCTCACAGAGTTCGATTGCGAATGCGTTAAAAACCGAATCGGGTGTCTTGCGTCATGATACTTTCTGACCCTTTTTGCTGATATAACACCCAACCCTGCAAAACCTGGGGTTGCTTGGTCGCACACCCATATGTCTCACTTCTATACCTACCTAGTTCTACTGCCGCAATGAAGGGACATCCCGATGTCCCTAACGAGAACTTGATCTTCCTCGCATCACTCCTTTGGGCTGCCCCCAACGTCTTGATGCCCCATAAGGCTTGAACCATTACTTCGGCTTCTTGATGATCTCATTATTGTAACTAAGCAACGATCATCTCTGCCCTCTCGCCTTATGTTTGTGATGGTCATAATGATGGATAATTGGCGCAAGACAGACACTATTTAAAACACCATGCCCGATCGGCGTTCCTATCACATGCATCTCAGGAGGGATATGATGTGATGGGGCGGCCCTCTTTGTTGGTGAAACTCCCGATTTTGACAAAGGTACTCATTTATACCCAGATCCGAAGTATCACTGAGTTGGAATGAAGGTAGAGGTAATTTGCGGCTACTTCATCACATCCCAATCCAGGCAAGCGGCGCTTAGGAGTTTCGGTGAGCCTTGAGGCTTGTCAGCCGCACGAAGAGAGAATATATGATCAATTACCGGTAATCACTTGAGAGGCAGCATTGGCAGGCTGTGGCTTGTGATTCAACAAGGCTGACATCAAAATACCCCTTCAGGAGCGAGAACAACCTCCTTCCACATTCATCGGCCCGGAGCCCATTATTCAGGCATCAGGATTTGTTGGATAGGCGCGGCCACATGTGACGATACGAACTAACCACGCAACGTCGAAAATTGGCGACACAACCCGCACTTCCTTTTCGGCTTCACATGACCCTGACCTTGTCCGATATCAAGGCCATGAATTGCCACGCAAACCGGTCGGAATAGAGAAATACCGACAGCCTGCCTGACTTGACCGAAGACCGGCGGTCCGTCAGGCACGGCTGGATTACTAGCTGTCTCGCGAGGGGGTTCCCTCGCCCCCTTCCCTGTGGTCGCATTAGGTCGCCCTCAGGTTGTAATGCGGGTTTGTGCTCGATTTTCGGGGAAAGAGACCGTAGGGTAGCGACTTCAGTATGGATGTCCGAATGGACTGTCTTCTTGTATATGTCACAGCCCGAGTGTTTGTTTCCCCTAGGCTTCAGCAACACCTCAGATAGAATGTTTGCTGAGTAGGGAAAGCTCGCCATCTGTATTTCAAGGCTACCTCAGCTCCATCAGGGATCAGTGATATTGACAGAGAAACCAAAAAAAGAAAAGGGCAGCATGGGATACCGTGTTAGGCTGTTGTTTGTTCGAGCTGATGTTGAGTTGGCTTATGGATGATGTCTGTGACGATGGCGCGCAAGGCTTTTTGTTCTCGCTGGTTCAAAGTCCATGGTTTAGTATTCTGCGACAACGCCTGACAGCCAAATTGCTTAGATCTAGTGTGGAGTAGCAGGCTTCTTCGATCTTGAGTTCTGCAGGATGGGCGATATAGAACAGCTTGGTCCACATCTCGAGGCAGATTTCGGTCACGGCTGACCTCAAAGAGACGCAAGCTGGCACGCTGACGGACTGTAACACACCATAGTTAGCGCACTAGGTATTCAACGCACTTACACAAGAAGGCCGACATGTTACCCGGCTTTCGGTCTATCATGGGGGAAAACATGAATACGTAGAGTCAGAGTGATCGAGAGCTTGAGGTATGCGAAAACAACCCTTACCCACTATCCTGGAACCTACACTACACGCAGGAAGAAGGCTGGGGGCTACATACTTGCCCATATGCCCGAAAGGAGGGGATACCTAGGTATATGTACCGCTCGAAACTACCAATTGTTTCGTAGTCACCTGGCGATTCTATCATGTGTTCAAACGTCACAGGCATGGGGTGGGCATTGTATGTAGTAGGAATCGTCAGAGTTCGGCACAAGGTTCCTGCCCAGCTTTTAATCCATTTTGCAGATTTGCAGCATCAGTTCGGTGATGTCAAAGACAAGTTAAGAAGCGAGATGGTGAGCAAATGCGTTTTTTCCGCAGAGCCGCAAGGTACCCACGTACCTGTAGTGCGCGGACCACCTCATGTAATGCAAGGGCAGAGGTACCGACGTACCGAATGGTTCGCAATTTTTCACACAAGGCAACCATTCCCCGTCGCTAGAGGTACTACACTGCAACCGACCCACAAACAATCCAATGTTACAATACCGAAGCTGAACCTCGCTCTCGAAAGTTCCCCACGTAACTTCATACCTTTGAAATAGAGATTGAACACCATTTTTTTTTTTTTTTTTGGAATATGTTTACAGGAAGGCCCCTTTGAATTTAGGCTTCAAACTTGGATTTGCCGTACCAAGTCGTCCGTTTGTCATGTTCGCCAGTACCGCGCGACGCTGATAGACTGTTAGTTACTACACCACTGCTGTCTACCGTCCTGTCGCTCAAACTCCTGGCAGTTCGCGTCGTCAGCTTAGCTTCATGAGGCCTTGCAGAAACACTTATCTCGATTCATTGTCACCCCGCTCTTCTCGACGACAACACCCCCGGCAAGCTACTTGCGGTCGACTTTCCGACAAAAATCGCTCGCAACCATCTTTGTCGGCTTTTGAGCCTCCGTAGGACAACGTGGCTCCTCACAGCATCCTGTATTGATCTCGGAATCATCGCACTGCCGAACCCCTGTTACGCACGGGCACTAAGTCGCTCTAGGGATTCTGGCGCATCACTCGCAATTCACTCGCCTCTGTGACTGTTGGTCAGCTTGAGTCACGTTCACACTTGCACAGGCACACGCCTACAAAGCAGACCTCCAGTCATGTCCTCACAAAAACCCCAGGTCGACATTGGACAAGGCTTTGTCAACTATCTAAGAAAACAGGCACGATCTAGACAGAAACCGGCAGTTTGTAGCCTTTGCAATTTAGACCTCCCAGCCGTCACCGACTATGTGCAATTTGAGGCTCACATCAAATCAGTTCACGCCCAACTTTATAACAGCAAAACATCAGACAAAGAAAAAGAGGAATGGCTGAATGCGCAGTGGAAGGCATCTCAGCCTACAAATACAAGTGAAAGGTTGGTCACTTCCCTTCCATATCCTGCTGATCCTCCCTCCCCGATACAGAGATTTGTACTCACAGTAGCCATGCACTACATCAGAAACCCAGGTATAGACGTTAGTTCTAGATCCGGAAAGGCAGCTTCTCCCGGAGACACCAACCGGCCGTCAAACTGGGCAAAAAATGCTGGCCAAGAATCGGGCAATGTGGCGCAAGCGCAACCAGACCGTGCTTTCCGAACAAAGAGTCCTTCTCCCAGCAACAAAAGGGAGAGCTCTCGTAGCCAGTCCCCTCCCAAGCGCTCCAAAACTTCTGGCCGTCAGGGAGCTAGTGCGTTGACGGATGATGCGCGTGCGGAATTTGACCGGGGACCAACTCAAAAAGGGATGCTGTGGGATCCCCAAAATGATACAACTCGGACTCGCACTCAGCCATACGACAAGTCAAACGTTGCCACAAGCCACAAACTGCCTTTAGCTGCCTCGCAGGCCAAGTCCCGCCGCCAGAGTCAACAGTCCCAAAACGCACCCAGTCGAGCCCCTGCTCAGTCTGAAGATATGTCGATTGGGTTCCTCAAACAGCCCGAGACACGCGCTATTTCCCAGGAACAGCTTGTCACGGAGGTCAAGGGCATCTATGCCGGCCTTGTTATGGTTGAGAGCAAATGCATCGAGGTTGACAACGCCCAGAATGCCGAGACAGATCCCGCCAACAAGCCCATCAACCATGAGCAATGGCAGGCATTGATCGCTCTGCACCGCACTTTGCTTCACGAGCATCACGATTTCTTCCTGGCTTCTCAACACCCGTCTGCGAGCCCGGCATTGAGACGATTGGCCGCCAAGTATGCTATGCCGGCCCGAATGTGGAGGCACGGAATCCACAGCTTCCTTGAACTGCTAAGACACCGTCTTCCGGGGAGTCTCGAGCACATGCTCACTTTCATTTACCTGGCATACTCGATGATGGCATTGTTGTACGAAACTGTGCCTGCTTTTGAAGAGACATGGATTGAGTGTCTCGGGGATCTGAGCCGTTATCGGATGGCCATTGAGGAGGGCAACCTTCGTGACCGAGAGATATGGACTGGTGTGAGCCGGGATTGGTACTCGAAAGCTTCCGACAAGTCTCCCACTACTGGGCGTCTTTACCACCATCTCGCCATTCTTTCCCGGCCCAACGCGGTGCAGCAACTCTACTATTACGCCAAATCTCTCTGCGTTGCAATCCCATTTCACTCGGCTCGTGACAGCATCATGACGCTTTTCGATCCTGTTTTGGGTCCCGATTCGAGTCGTCACTCAAGGCTGCATCATATCGATCTCGCATTCGTCCAGACCCATGGCGTCATGTTCAGTCGCAAGTCTCAGGACAAGCTGGAGGATTATATGGAAAATTTCTTGAAACCCCTTGGTAATCACATTCAAGTTTCAGGATATCAGTGGCGAGAGCCTGGGTATGTGTGACTGTGCATCTTTTTCTCTTTCTTTCAAAGTCTCTAGTCCTAACGTCAAACAGATACCACATTGCTATTGCAAACTGCTGTGCCATCATTGGTTGGGGTAAAGAAAAGAACCCAGTTTATCGAGCCATAAAAGCAAAAGCAAGCGTCAATAATGAGTCGCGTGACCAAACCATGACTGGCATCGAGGGGGCGGAACCAGATCTACAACTCGTAACAGCTCTGAGATTGGCCAACAGGACTCATGATGTCGTCTTGAGACAACAGGACGACCTAAATGTGGTACCATATCTCCACGCCACTCTTGCCTTTGTCTACCATCTGATCTCTCTGCCGGAGGCCATGGTCCACTTTGCACCGGAGTTTCCCTGGCGCCTGGTGTCTTACCAGCTGAACTCCTTGCTTCGGGATTACTCCGCGTATGACCGATTTGAGAGCGATAAGTTCCCCAGACCGGAGAACGAAGAGGTTCCCCGTCCCCTGCCCGAGGACTTTGCCATGCGCGGCCTTCTGTGGGTTGAGAAGTTTTTTCCCAGCGACTGGTTCTCGGAAGACAAGATTATCGACGACGAGAAGTATTTCGAATCGGCTTCCCTCTTCGATGAAAGAATCCCACGGGTTCTGTACTTGGGTTATCGAATTGCCATGGAAGGAGAGGGCAAATGGCTTCAATACGACCCGAAGACTCATCGGTTCGGGGTGCACTCACAGTATGAGCTGGAGTCTCAAAGAGGAGGCAAAGACTACGGTGAACTGCCTGATGCGGCCGCCCACCCTTGATCAGACGCGAGCGTGGGTGCACTACGGGTATCAAGTGCATCCAAATCATCCATATATACGTTACATATCATTTTGCGTCCGTCAGGAATTCTGTGACAGGTGAGCCGCCAGGGTTTCGTCCCTTTTTTTCTTTCTTTCTTTGTTTTTTTTTATGATTTGCTTCAGACGTTATCTCTCAATCCAGCGTACAGATAGACTGGGTAATTTGCCTTTTGATATCTCTTTTTCACATGTACATCAGCAATCGAGGTATTCAAGTGTGTACAGTTCTGGGTTTCACTTGGTGAAGTCCAGAGGATAATTGTGTTCAAGATGCCATCTTGGCCTTTGAGTGTAAATGTGTAGCATTGTAATTGTGAAACAGATCAGTAATACTAGTCAAGAGGTTTGCAGAAATTTTGAGTAAGCAAATTACGCTGCGTCGATGAACTTCCAGGTAACAAGCGTTATCAGGAGAAGAGAACGTGAACATTGGAACAAGTGTAAATGTTCGATACGTAAGGCTATAAGCGAGGCAGCACATGTTATTGAACAAGGTGACAATGACAGAACGAAAGAAAACCCCAAAACGACGACGGGAATACACGTTTGATTTTCATTGGTGTTGATTATCTGTAGAACAATACAGAGTACACAACCTTCCGGGCCTTGGACAGTTACTTCAGCTCAGGGGTTTGTTTACTTGACTCTACATCTGGTCTCCAGCGCCACAGGGTGACACCGGGTGCTGCCTTTGACCCCACGTGTAACCCAGACCCCTGAAAACGGGTCCCCAGCAAGTGCTCAAGAACGTCAATTTTTTCTTTCATCCAACTAGGCTTCTAGGTAGCAAGTTCCGCATCTAGGCACCCCGGCCGATTGCCTTACGGCACTATCCCTCGCTACGCGGAAATTGATACACTGGGGAGATATTCCGATGCTTCCGCGCCGGCCGAAAGACCTCAAAACATCATGAGGAAATTGAACATGATGAACGACTGGTCTGTGCCATCGTTGGTAAGGCAAACATCAACTAAAGGGAGCAGGGGCAAAAATGACGATCCGGACGCCTCATACTATCCCAGGAACTCGGTACTGGCACCAATCTTGGATATGGACACTGCTACGCCGCAGCCACGTTCCTCCCTTCATTATGTTGGGTAGGACCTGCCAATCTAGTAAGATATAGGCATCTAACTCCACTCTAGGCAACAGGCATGCGGCACTGTTGATACTGAAGACTCAGATTCTTGAAAAGACTCGACAACTCACCCTGGACACTTCACTCCGGAGTCACGGTAATGCTCGCCAACAGCCTCCAAATCTGACATGAGGATCGTAAAGACTCGTAAGCTAAGTAAGTGTAAGATCATCTTCTAAGCTTCCAAGTTCTACACGTTAATTGTTTCTATCTCAGATTTACACAATCTTACTGTCCAGCCCCCACCCCCCTCCTTGTCCAAAAAAAAGAAGCAAGAGAAAACACCGATTCAAATGAATGAAGAGGAAAAGAAAAGAAAAGAAAAATAAGGCGACCACGCTAAGAAAAAAGATAGTCCGCGGGGGCTCAGATGTTCTCGGCCAAAGCTGATGATGACCAACGAGTAAGGTTTACGTTTGGGAATTTGAAGCGAGTTTCCAGATTGTACGCCGCCCGCGAATGTTTGAGTGAATGAGTGTGTGAACGATTGAGTGGACACTTCATCGAAGCGGCGTTGACGATGTGATGATGTAAGTCCTCTCACCGAAAATTCGGAGGTGGAAACATATATCCATTTACAGTAGAACTTCTCAAACCCCCTAAATCATTTGACTAACATTGACCTTGATCTCACCAGCCACGGACCTTGCCATCGGCGCTGAGACCGACATATTCGTAACTGTCCAGTGTTCTTGTGTCCGCGCTTACATCATCTATGTTGGTGGCCTTGTCAGTCCTCCGCGGCCACTGGACGTCATGTAGGTCCATGTTCTCGAATGAAGTCTCCGAGGACTATATGATCATGATAATGTCGTTCCAGCAGAGGTGTGCAGCCACCCATCGTGTAACTACTTGTAACTTGCGTCTATTTTGCGGCTCAACAAAAATTTGCATCTAGGTACGTTCCTGGTGCCAATTTTGGTTTGTCACACCCCTTCTAGTTTTTTGAGTGGTTTCCCCAAAACAGAAAATCTCCCAAATGTCTACCGGATCTGTGTTTTCACGGCGCTGCCGCTGCCGTGCCACGGTACATGGTGTGATCCGTCGCCCAGCGCCCGCCTGTCCCGCCCCCGTTCGAATCGACAATTACAAGGTCACGGATTCGTGTGCCGCGCCTCTTCGTCTTATGATTAACTAAAGTCTGAGCCGAGGATCTTGCGGTTGGGCCTCCTTTTCTCATGCCGGTTCTTGGTCAAGCAGTTTTGGCAAATCGGCAATGTAGTCCCGGTGTACGTTGTGTTAGCATACAACATCAAAAAAGCTTTTAAGGCGGCTCGGGCTGAGGATGCCTTATATATCAGATGTTAATAATCATATGCCGCTGAGGTAATGAGTCTCCAAAGCTCAGCAAGGATGGCCTGTGGAAGCCTACTCATAAGGCTGGCGCGTCTGAAATTTGAAACCTATCAGACTATGGATATGCCGCATCGCCTTGTCAAGGTCGAGACCAGGCAAACTTCAAAACATTTCGCTTGATGAGGTAGCATCGGACAAGACGTTGTCTAACTACTGTCGAAATTATCGCTGTCTAGGACTTGGAAGGATGGCATGTTCTGACTGCCACCAATGAGATATCAAGCTACTTGGGTACTCACCAATAGGTGGATTATATCACGAAACGCATCATCAGAACCATGGTATTGCGGTTCCGTATTTTCTGGAATGGCAATCGTTTCGCAAAGGAAGCCTTGGCGCTTCGAAAGAATCTTCAAAATCTGTACGACGCGAGTCCAACCGAGCGCAACGTAGTTGCCTTGTTGTAACGGTGTGTAACATTTCTTCGAACAACCTGAGAACTAACCGAATACGTTTTATCATGCATGCTTTCCGTCCGATCAGTGTTACCCCCCTACTTCCCGTGAATCGGGGGCAGAAACAATTAACCGATACCCGACTGCTCTGGAAGTCCAACGTTCTGAACCCTCTCACCCGGCCCCGCCCGGATCCAATGTCCCACCAGGCCGGACTTCATCTTCGTAGCTACGGCTCCGGAGGTAACGTACCGCCCCTCCCGAGGGCATGCCAAGGTCCCGTCTATATTCAGGCAGTTTACCAGTGCATATCGCTACATCTACATAACGCTGGTAATGCATGTTTCTCTTGCGTATTCACTGCAGAGATTTGCCCACACTGCTCGAGATATCAGCAAAAGAGAGATAAAGATACTTGCCCTACCGACTTTACCCCTCATCGGTATTAACCTCCCCCCTCCCTGAAGCTCAGGCGAAAGCCCCTATCCTGACCGAAAGTGCTGCATGGCTGCAAGTCAGCTCAGCTATAGCTAGTATTGCTGCAATATTCAGCTTCAGCTGAGCGGGGTCAGCGGGTGCGGGGTAAGTCGGACTCATGGTGGTGTTTTGTATCATTTTCGATGTTTCGGCTGGAGAAGTCGGGGAATAGATGACACCAGCTGCCTCTAGGCGTCCATAGCAGTGATTCGGTATGATCATTCTGGTGTCAGCGGCTTAAGTGGTTGCCTACTTCGTGCCTCGTGAAGCCGTAGTGGCTGCGCTTTTCTTTATCCGATCATCAATTGACTACCTCTAGGGATGACTATTTTCCGACAAATGTGTGGAATTCATCAGGCTTTCAGACTCTTGTCTCACCTCACCGAAGTTGCCTTCTTCAAAGGCAGATGCGATAACGACCTGGAGAAAAGCCGTCCGCTGACCGGTTTTGGGTTTGTTAAGTTGCGGTGGCAGTAATGAAGATTGATTGTTGGTTGGAAACAAAATGCCTCAAGACCCGCACATCACTTACCTGCCAGACCATCGTACATGATACCGAATCATCAACTGCAAAACGTATCATAATGACGTTTGGACATTACCTACACGCAGAACCAGGAGAGCCTGCTCCAAAGATAGCTTGAATAGGGAGTGACCTTTACTGAGATGGAAACGGCACCGACTTCGCGACCTAATGTTGAACCTCACACCATAACCTACCAGGCAATGTGTATCTCTGGTGTCATCTCGGTTCTAGAATTACTAGCGTTGCCCGCTGCTCTGGATACTCTGGTATTAGAATTCTACTGGGGAGTATTGAAGTTCCGGAGACTAACAAGTCAAGAAGCGCTCACTCATATATTGCGGGTAGTAATGTAGGCAACCAGACTGTCTCCGACTAAGAATAATATTCCCATGTCACATACCACCCGCACGATATGAGGATAGTGCGGTTGCTACCAAACATTTTTAAGCCTTTCGTTCGTTTTACCTAAGAGCGGAATTTGCAGAGGTGCCGTACATGGCGGAAGAAGCCAATCGCAACTCGAAAATCAACGACGCGTGTCTCTGTTCATGCCTTTTGAATCTCGCAGCTTGATGGTGAACGCAAACGCCACTTTAGAAACCTTTGACCCTCGGTTCATTGGTAACAAAACGACTGAACAATGCATCACTTTTCGTCATTCCCAAGCGTCGCTTCCGGCGTTTAGCGCTGCCAAAGGGGTCCCCACAGCGGGCCAGTCCGCTGTCGGGTCGCCTAAGCGAGTGGTTCATGCCAGGGGTCATTCAAAGGGGCAGTGGTGGGGCCTCAAGGTCAGACACAGGTTCAGGCTAGTGTCCAATGAAGCGTTGTTCACTTGTTTTCCGTCAACAAACAAGACGGAACTCGGATAGATCTCCATGCCAATCCCAGATTACCGTGCAGATATATGCTAAGTTTCTGTCAGTCTCCGCCGTACATGCAGCAGCGGCCCGTCGTGTCCTGATATTCGCATCAAATCCTATACGAGATCGGCGCCGGCAAGCTAGGTATGCGATGAAGGTCTCGGATTTCCTTATCGGACTAGAGATAGGAGTGCTTTCACTTATTCCTCTCCCCATCTGATGTGTAGGGCATTCTTGTTCCCTTCGGTCTTCAAAAGGGTTCGACCCTCTTGGGTCATCGAGCATCATTCAGAGAGCTACCCAGGACAAATCTGATATTTCAAATGTATGAATTTACACGAAATTGTAAATGATTTCAGGCAAGCTAAGTCTGTAACAAGACTCATCTGGGACGTCGAGACCTCCATGGAATAGAGGTAAGCAGTGTATCAAACATAACACCCCGAAACAGTAACTTAACTATCTAATCGCGGAAGCGGCTTAGGTCCATGCAGGTCAAGGAAAGTGCTTTCACATGCAACGCGAGCTCAGCCTAGCAGACAGGAGGTGTAGGTACGTGACAGTAAGGTATGCACATCCCACCTGGCTTGGACTTGTAATCCGAACGAGCTTTTTTATTCTTTCTTGCTACGTCATAGAGCCACACACCTCACACCGAAACTCCCTGGCGCAGAACCCCTCCAGATTTCAGGCACGTGCGTTCAAGGCTACCTACCTAGCCAGAAGTGCTGAAGTACCAAACCCCCCTCCCCCCAAGCAGTTGGTCAAGTCAATCTTTCTACACGCCAACCTCACACCACGCTACCTACATTCTACTTGTTGAAAGGACATGCATTCCATCGGCACCAAAGGCATGTCAGCCTCGGGCCACACCCTCTCGGCCGGAAAAGATAGATGACTGTCGGTCGTGAACAAGATTCAATTCATCTTCTTTGCTACACTCAGCAAATCTCAATACCCTCGCACACCCCTCAACGGTCGCTCGGGCACCAGACGCTCTCTGACACGGGGTTCAATCAAAGGATTTATATTTCAAGTTAGATGAGAGCTCATGGTTGGAATGATTCGGCCACCACCATGTCCATGCTTAGCTTGACGACTCCTATGCCTTTCTATAACCACTCCTGTCAATCTCGCGCAGCGACTATTCTTTACCATGCATACCATCTGCTAACATCGTTTGGGTCAGTCGAGCGCATCTCGAATTCATAGCCATCCTCGACAATAACAAGTCATACCAAGTAGAACTGTACCAGTTCAGCATCGCGGACTTCCGAAAGCGACATTCCGAGAATATCGACTTCCTTGACAGTCGATGCTCTTCTATTCGATGTAATTACCCGCAATTGCAACGAATTGCAATCCCAGCAAGGTCATAATTGGCTGAGCTGCTCGATAAGGCATCCAGATGTCAAGGGCCATCGGGCTCATGTTTCAAGAAGGCAACTGCACGATTCTAGCCCGATCATATTTCGCCTACAAGACGCTGTTTACTCGGACACCAATTACCCCGGTTACGACAACGGAAACCACCTTGTCGCTTGACTACATATCAGGCATAATCGCAAGTTCAGGTGGGCGACGGCCATTTGCGACCCAGTCACTTGAAACTTGTGTTCATGCCTAGACGACAGATGGACTTCTGAAATGACTGCGTTACCCTTAGGAAGCGAGTGCTCGATTCAAAAAAGAGCTCACTACCGGCCCCAGCTTCACGTTGAGTGGTATATGTACTGCAGGTCTTCGGAATGCTGGGGAAAATAAGCCTTGCCAGAACGCTTGGTATGGATGAGGCAAACGACGCCAGATCCTTGAGCGCGTACTTGTTACAAGCATCATCGGGTTTGTGGTACGTTTTCATTTTCAGTAATATGGGTAACCTGACGGCATGGCACATACACAGATAGACCCAAACTACCCAGTAGATGCCTTTCATGACACACCTGCAAGTTGCTATCAACGGCTTGTTGAAATCTTATCTCCTAGCTCCATAGGCAAGTCATCTGCAGTATATGAACGGAACTTTTTGATAGGTCTACAACTTGTTTGTTGACATCCCTCTAGCTTCAATGCCCAAGACGGGAAGTCTGTTTGAGGGTATAGTATAGTAGAACGCGAAATTCTCGATCATTTCGGGCATCTCGGATACTGAGAATTGTATGCAAGGAAGGGTGCAGCTGCAGCCACCCTTGAGAGAGATTGTTGATAGTTGAACAAGGCCCGTGACAAACATACACAGAGTGGTACCAAAACTAGGACCTGATGTAGGGCAACACAAATGTTAATTAAAGCGATGTCAACTGCGAACCATTCATACGAAGTACAGAAGGGGATCCCACGCCGGCTTCAAACTTGCTTACCTAGAGGTAGTTCCCACTACACGGGCCATCCGGATGCCTCCCATTATGCACGGTGTTACCGCGCACCACACAAGCCGTGAGATGAGATGGATTAGGCGCAGATCTCGAAGACTCGGCTTCTTTGGCCGACTTCAAACATATTGGAGGAAACACCAAGACACACCAAAGCGTATGACCTCGGCTAAAGTCCGTCCGACGGCCACTTGACAAAGACTACTACGAAGACTCACGCTATATTGACACTTCAAGGGAGCATTTGGAATACCAAACGACGAGGGCCTCTGCGAAGATTCATCGACTAGACCGATACGAGCGACCACGACTTGTGGGATCTGGCGTATACAGGGAACTCACATCGGAACACGGCCGTTGTGATAAGGCAACTGGTTCCGCTTTAAGCTTTGCCTACCCAACCTACCACATACGAGGTGTAGTAGCATCTACGAAAATGGGGTCGTTATATCTCTGCCTGCCTATTACGAGTAGCCAAGGCAGAACTTTGCCTGAAACTATCAAATTCCCGATTGGAACCTCCCTCTACGCCGGTCTCTGGAGTTCAATTTGAGACCACAAACCACGACACCCATTTCTACCTAAGGTACCAGGCATTACTGTTGTTTATCATTTGTTTTCCTGCCGGTTTCGCACAACATGCTGAGCCTAGGTACAGGAACCAATTCTTCACAATCCGGTGGTTCTACTCTCAAGCATTTTTATCACTTTTCAGAATGGAGCTCAACATAGCCTGCCCGACTCCTAACTCCAACCTGTGGGCAGCCTTACGAGGTCAATTTCGACCATCAATGTACTGATAATCATTAACTGCATGAGCACAAGGAAGGGACAGTAGCTACGGACTCACGATTGGACCCAACTAGCAATTGTTGGGAGGATCATTAAGTGCTTATATATCTGCTCACAAATTCACAGATATGCTACATGGCCCGGCGCTCAAAGAGGGATAGCGTTTCATGATTTTCGCGATCTTCGACGGCAGGAAAAGAAGAACCCCCAACAGAAGTGGATGCTAACCAGGCATATGCAACCTCCATCAGGCTTCGTGAGGACATCTGCAAAGAAAGAGACCGGTAAGCAACAATAATACCACGATAGGCTCACGTATAGTTAAGTCAAAGTGGTTACTGCACCTAGTTCTCGGTACCGCAGGGCTTGCTCTACGCGGAGTTCGTCCCAACACAACATGGCTTTGGATAGGAGGTGGTCACAGCATTTTAATAGAATGCCTTCTCCACACTGTTTAGATCTAGAAAACGCGGGATTTGATGCGCCTTTGCTTTGGTCAGCTAATTTTCGTTTCAGTTTCAGAGCATAACATTCGTGTACTGTCCCGTCTTCACACCCACCACAAAGTTCCCTTGAGGGGGCGTATTAAAAGGCTGGTTGCCTTGTCACAGATGTCGGCGTATATGGCAGTCCCCAAACTCCCATACACAGAGGATAAAGTATGTAAACAAAACTAATGGCTGCGGGGAAAGAGGCAACGAGGCTTGACCTCGTGTATGTCGGTTATCGAAACCCCCCCTCCCGTAGACCTGATGAAGGTCGTCATCTTCACGATGCTTTGCCTTCAAGCCCCTCAAGAGCGTTTCACAGTGATTGGGCTAGCTCGCTCACCACCCAGCCGCAAAAAGGGGAAAGTCGTGCACCTGTGATGAGCCAGACTCGGGCTTCCTGGTGATATAGCCAAATCTGATGCACCACCTCACCCAGTGCCAAGGCGGGCCATGATATTCAAGCTCTTAGTGGCTTGTAGTACAAGTCGCCACGGAAGGAATTTGCCAAGGGCAGACCGGTAAACGGATTGAAGAATACCACATTGGGTGGTAGACGTTGTTCTTGAGCTACAGACTTGATGTGCTTTATGAAGAGACCATGAAAAAGTCAAGACTGCCCGGTGTCGTGAACCACGATGGGTCAAGTACTAGAAATTGGCGATCCATATCACAGACAAAGAACATGATCACAACAAAGCAAGACTAGAAAGTGCAAACTGGTCAGGCTCTAGAAAAATCGAAGAGTTCACCATGATAGATGACCGTGGATGGGAGCTCTTGACCTAAAACCCTAACCCTTGTCGGTGACCTTCAGCGATACAGGCGTGTGGGTGTTCGGATCCGATAGTAGGTACACGTGCTCAGATACTACTAGTGTTCAGAAGTGAACCGGTGGCGTGGTCGGCATTCGATGTAGAAATTGGTGATAAAGTCTCCTTCCAGTTCTCAACAAAGCAACTGAAGAGAGAGCACATCCATCTTTGGGGAGCCCCGGGAGCCTTGGCAAGACTCTGGCGGGTCGGCAGTCGTCCTTGGCACTTTCGTGGAGACTCTCGCGGGATGGCGTTCTCGGTTCTCGAGAACAGTTCCAGCGGGCGACAGGGCAGTGTCCGGCGTTTCATCTTTGCAATAAGTCCCCACTTTTACAAAACCTACCAATCATAGTGCGCTAAATGATACCTCATTACATACTGTAGATTATTTAGATCGCCGCACCGCCGGTAAGATTGCCCCGAATTGAACCCCAGAATGGCAGCGCCGTTGGACACGCTCGGCGCTATCTTGTTGCAACCGAAGAACAGCATTCAATCTCGAATTACGACGAACACGGACCCTTGAGGAAGTCGATGATCTTTCGTACCATGGGCATGGCAGATATATCATTGGGAAGATAAAGATCGATATTGATCGCGGAAATGACGAGTGGAGGACTGAAGGAAGGAAGCAAGGAAGGAAGGAAAGTAAAAACAATGATCTCGACGGAGGGACGGGAGAAAAGAAAAGGGGGTGCTGGTGTGAGACAGCCCGATTTCATGCTGGAACAGGATTGATCAATTGGATGACAACCTCAAGCTGTTAGTTTCTGGGTTGTGCGCCGGGCAGAGTTGCGAGTATGTACATTCCACATTGAAGGTTGTGTAAAGCTTTTGGAAGTTCCAGCGTTACGCGTCCTGGTGCATATAAGGAGTCGGCCATACAATACACAAACTCATCTGAAGTATGATATGCGCAACCGGCAAGGTACCCGAGGCCGATGTGTGGTGGTTCTCATCCCATATCTGGAGGTTTCGTCCGGTCTGGGCCGTTGCTCGTGTCGTGTGCGTGTGTTCAGTTCAGCGGGCGGGCGGGTCTAAACCCCGCTGTCAGATCAGATCCTGCTGCGGTCGTAAGTGGCAGCGAACCAAGTGGAAGTGGTGTTGCCATGTTGAGGATGTCTTAAAGCTGTTTGGTTTCAGACCCTCTCGCTCTCCTCTGCTCGGCTAAGTTAAGGTTGCGTTGGGAATCTGGGGCTTCGAGAGATCGCGGTAGCGATTACGTTAACCACGGCTTTTCTGCCGCGTGGCGTTTGCCCTTCGACACAGTTGCGGCTATATACCTGAAACGTGAGATTAAGCTTTTCCCAAGTATCAAACGTTAACGCAGCATCAGGAGAAGATCCTGGTTGCAGCCACCTACCTACCTATCTCTTCAAAAGAAGGTACATGATGATTTTCGTCACGGTATCTCAGAATAGGTTACCCCCCGTTCCGTCAAGGTAACCACGCAGCGGCCATTCAACCTAAACCAGGGGAAGATTTACACCACGGACACCCCTGGGAGCACTGCCTAGCCAAGAAGCTAGCATCTGCTAGTAGGATCATCGGCCCCACGCATCTCGGGCATTTCGTCCAGCAGCTGCTGCGCAACCCTTTCAAGAAAATCGATTCTCGAGAACTGACAGCGCCCCTGTTACGCACATCCGTCACAAAAGGACTTTTTGTCCTGATCATCGTTCAAAGATTGTGTTGTCTGTAAAGAGTCATCGGTTGCTTGTCAAGATCGGCCCTCACTGCATATTGATCGAACCCCCATTTCTGACACCAACACCACTCACTCATTTCTTGCACCGGCCGCTTTCGATTCAACTTCCAAACCTCGAACTTCACACCACCAGCTCGGACCAGACCTCTGCTACGCAACGCGTCGATGCGCGTCACCACACTTTAGAGGTAGCAGCCAAGTGTTTCCACAGCGTCTGGAGGCCGGTCAAAACGTTACGTCCGTCCAGTCGCTTGGTTAAGGTACAAGAAGCGCTGTCACGAACTGCAGTATGTAAGTACATAATAGCCATATGCGTTCGCCCCTGTACCCCAATGCCAGTTAAGACGCTAATGACGTTTTCTGTCTGCACGACAGCCGCCTCGGCCACACTTCTCGACCATGCTCACTTTCCGCCGCGCCCTGGTGGCAGCGGCCTTCTTCCTCACCATCTTCTACCTCATATCTTCATCCTCGTCGAACCCTCCATCAGCAACGACACCAGCTGTCCCTAAAGCCGACGCCGATGTCGAGACAGCCAAGCATGCATCAACCACTGCTGTGACGGACAAGAGCTCCTCGGGCGCCAACGCCGCTCAACAAAACCCGCAGGGCCAACGACCGATCCAAGACATGTCACGAATGACACTGTACGAAAAGCTCGCGTATCAGTTTCCCTACGATGTCGAATCCAAGTTCCCCGCCTACATTTGGCAGACGTGGAAGTGGACACCAGCACACGGCGAATTCAACTTCCGCGATCAGGAGGCCACATGGACACAGCAACACCCTGGGTTCATTCACGAAGTTATCACCGACAAGGTCGCCGTACATCTTATCCGTCTGCTTTACGCATCCGTCCCCGAGGTAGTGGAGGCCTACAATGCGCTTCCCTTGCCGGTGCTCAAGGCCGATTTCTTCCGCTATTTGATTTTGCTGGCGAGGGGCGGCATCTACTCGGACATCGACACGTATGCGATTCGGAGTGCCGTCGAGTGGATTCCCGATTCAGTTCCCAAGGACGCCATTGGTTTGGTGATCGGCATCGAGGCTGATCCAGATAGGCCGGATTGGAAGGAGTGGTACAGCCGGAGGATCCAGTTCTGTCAGTGGACGATACAGAGCAAGCCAGGTCATCCTGTGCTGCGGGAAGTCGTTTCACGCATCACGAATGTGACGCTGGCGATGAAGAGAAACGGGACACTGAGAGGCGTGGTTGATAAGAATGTCATCGAGTTCACCGGGCCTGCCCTCTGGACCGACGTCATCTTTGAGTATTTCAACGACCAGCGTTATTTCGACATGACACACTCGGCTGGATCCATCGACTGGAAGAACTTTACGGGCATGGAGGCCTCGAAGCGGGTAGGAGACGTGGTCGTTCTCCCCATCACAAGCTTCTCTCCTGGCGTGGGCCAGATGGGCGCTAAGGAATATGACGATCCCATGGCGTTCGTAAAGCATGATTTTGAGGGTAGGTCTCCCGTGCAACAACACCGTCCTTCCTGACAGGCGGACACACAAGGCTAACTCAACTCGCAACTTACAGGCACATGGAAACCCGAGAGCGAACGCCACATTGGAGAAAACAAGTAAAACATATGCCAGTACGGCTTGGCACCAAACTCCAGCGGCCTTGAGTTCTTCACTTCCGTTTAATATCGACGGCCAGGCACATTTCCTAGCCTCGACGCTCTACAACTTGTAATTTCTTGACGCAACTAATTCATCAGCATGGTCACGGCGTTTTGTGCGTCTATTCTACGCCTCAGCCGGGGAGATTTCATTTTATAAAAAGACGGATGGGCTGTAAGGTATGGCGCAATATCGGGGAAGGGTATATAGAAAAGAGAGAGTGTACGCAAAAGCTGGAGTGTGAAAGTATGGGCGGAGATGAGAACTCGATTTAGAGACATCTTGCAATGTCATGATGGGAAGAAGGAGGAAAGCGAAAGAAATGGAAGGCAGCATTGTACACATCTTTGTTATACCTGCCACAATTTTGGCACAGTCTTGCCGGTAGAGAAAGATAGCGCAGAAAAAAAGCACACACAAAAAAAAAAAAGAAGTAGGATGGCACAAGGTCCGAAATCGTCACCGAACCCGGAACTCTTTATCCTTCCCTTCCTGGTTGTAGTGTAGTGGGGGCACATCCCGGTCCCGCCGCCGGTGAAGGCTCCGCTACACCCCGCGCTGTCAGCGCCATTACGGTCCATCATGGTGGAGCTGCAGCGGACCTCGATGACATCGTGGGCGGAATTCGCTTAGGGTCGGTTTTACACGTGAATTGTTGAATATCATCCGCAGCACGCCGTGACGACGAATTCCTAAACAACCCAAGTCTAGATCTATAGCTCGATATATCACAGTAAGTTGTGAAAGCAAACCCGGTTGTGTTGTGGCACTCCATATAACCCTGTCCGTCAGTGTCAAAGTGCAGTGTACCTGGTCCCTTGCTTTCCTGCAAACATAGGTAACCACCACGTCGAAAGAAAACAAAACGAAGCAGTGCAGCCTTGACATACTCTCGTTGGAGAACATGACCTCAGGGCACATGTTGCATCTCGCCAGCAGCGACCATGGTAGGATATCCAGGGGCAAAAACCACTGGCAGATGCAGATGAACTGCTAAGCAATGCGGGAGAGAAATCTGGGGGAGGAATCTGGGGAAGCTCCCGTCTCCCGTCCGAGCCACGCCCCAAGGAATGTAACCTCTCTCATGACCTTACCTACCCCGCACTACCTCATTACCCTTACCGCCCACCGCCAGCACACTACCCCGTCTCAGTCCGTGTTCTGGCGGCGGCCGCCTTTCCCTGTTCAGAGCAAAAGGGGGAGGGGGAAGTCCCGAAACCAGACCGAAGATCGCCTGGTCAGCAGCGTGCAACGGTGATGGGTCTTTGCTTCGAACCAGTTGGTCTAGGTCGGCCGACTGGGGAGTGCAAGATGGCTGGATTATCTCTCGCATCGAGGCTTGCGTCTCCTTCCTTCTCCCTACGTTGATACTCGTGTTGATAATATACTGTGATGCTTCTATGATGAGAGGTGTGACGAGACCACGTTGAGCACTTCGAGATACAGGGTACACGAGACAAGGAGGGAGATCTTTTGGATATCACTACCCCCACAGCACACACGCACACGATGCTCTGCCGACCTCGGCTGACCAGCCCGGCCTTCAGGCGAGGCTTGTTCAAAGCATGGCGAAATTCACAGACCTGTAGACCGAGATGCCAGACGGCGAGGTCAATCAGCGGATTGGTAAGGAGTATTGCCCAAGGCCCAACTGAGGTAAGTTACTGCTGCCATAATATTGTTGCAGAAGAGGAGACTTGGTGAACGCATTGCTAACAACCGTCTTGTAGCCACCATTGCTTCAACACACCATTCCTCAACACTTCGCTTCCGTCGTCTCCCAACATGGCGACCGTCCTGCAGTAATAGCGCGATCGCCAACGGCTATCCCCAATGCCTTCCCGAATCTCGCGCCCGACCAGCTTCCCGAAGCTCTAGAGACGGCCTATACATATGAGGAACTTGATCAGGTCTCCAACCGTCTTGCGCATTCCCTACGGTCGCTTGGCGTAAAGAAAGGCGATAGAGTGGCCGTTAGCTTGGGAAACTGCGCAGAATACGCTGCCATCACTTACGCCGTCTTCAAGCTCGGTGCCATTCTTGTGCCTTTGAATCCGGGATTCAACGCCAAGCAAGTGTCTGCTGCCCTGAAACACCTCAACGTTGAGCTTCTCATCATTGGCGCTATTACGGATCTGGCCTACAAACCGTGCCGTGGACGGAGCAACCTCCCGCTTCTTCGGGACATTGTTCCTGATTTAGAGTCGGGCAGGATCGAAGCCCCTCATGTGCCATCACTACGAACAGTAGTTGTCCTCGACAACACCCCTTCTCACCCTGCTGCGGAATTTCCACCGCTATCATCATGCCGGTCACTCATCCCCTTCTCGATTCTGATGGATGGCTCCGGCGCACCGGTAACCCCCGATTCACCACTCTGTCCTTCAGAGACTATCAATATCCAGTTCACCTCCGGCACGACCTCACATCCAAAGGCCGCCATGCTCACTCACACCGGCATTCTCAACAACGGCGCGCTCATCGCCAACCGTATGGGTCTCGAGCCCACCGACAGCATGGTCGTTCCTCCTCCGCTCTTCCACTGTTTTGGGTGCATTCTAGGTTACATGGCCACAGCAACCACTGGCGCCGCCATCCTCTTCCCCAGCCCAGCCTTCGATCCACTAGCCTCTCTTCGCATGGCCGCCGACCACAAGGCTACCGGTCTCTACGGCGTGGCCACCATGTTTGTGGCCATGCTCGAGCTCATCGGGGCGCAGTCTCATCTCTCCGACCCGCTCATACCACTCAAGGACATCGAGGACTTTCCCAACCACCTGCGCAAGGGTATCGCGGCTGGCAGCTCCGTTCCCGAGAGTCTGATGCGCAGGCTCTACGCGAAGATTGGTCTGCAGGACTTGGTGATCTGCTACGGCATGACGGAGACCAGCCCCGTGAGCCTCATGACAGCGCCCTCAGACCCGTTCGAGAAGCGCACCGCTTCCGTCGGCAAGGCGATGCCACACACCAAAGTTAAGATCGTCGACCCCCTAGACAGGACGCGAATCTTGCCCATTGGCGAACGCGGCGAGCTTGCTTCGGCAGGATACTTGGTCATGAAGGGCTACTGGGGCGACCCAGAGCAAACAGCAGAAGTCATGATTACCGAGCCTGACAACGGCGGAAGCGGCTCGAGCACGACATGGATGTATACAGGCGACGAGGCCAGCATGGACTCGGACGGCTACGTGGAGATCACGGGCCGCATCAAGGATCTGATCATTCGCGGCGGCGAGAACATCCACCCACTCGAGATCGAGAACTGTCTGTTCCAGCACCCGTTGATTGCCGAGGCCAGCGTCGTCGGCGTGGCGGACGAGAAGCTGGGCGAGAGCGTGGGCGCCTTCATTATTGTCCACAAAGACGTCGAGCCTGTCGAGGGCGAAGGTGGGGAGGGGGATGTGCTCTCGCTGGAGAGCACGGCGAAGGGACGTAGTGAGGGGAAGAAGACACTGACGAGACGTGAGATCAGGGAGTGGGTTGCTAAGCATCTGTCTCAGCATATGGTGCCTAAGCACGTGTTCTGGGTGGATGAATATCCGAAGACGGCGAGTGGGAAGATACAGAAGTTCAAGTTGAGGGATCTGGCAAAGACGTTGATTGCGGAGAACAAGGGCTGATTTTTGGTAATGGGTGTGATGGTTGTGGTGGTTTAGCGGCTGAGTGTCAAAGGAGCATTGTGGCGTTGATCATTGGGTTTCTTGTGGTAGGCGACAGTGGTAATGGTATGTGAAATGAGATGAAACGTTGTATCGAGTGGCTTGAGAGCTAATTCAAATATGCAGTAACTTTACAGAGCTCTCGGTAGGAGTTTGAAGTCGGCGAGAGCCTGGCATCGGTATAACGAGCATGGCACGTTCGTTGCCCTTGACCAGCCGTCCCTAAACGCATTTCACGAGATGCAGGACCTCGTGTTCTCACTGAAGCCCTCCCAACTGCAACGAGACTCATCACCTGCTCATAACCTCCAATCTAGGTTGGTAGAGCGTAATGATCGTATTCGAATATTTGACGGTACTTACAGGGGGGACGGCTCTCGCTAACTTCCCTCGGTAATCGGTAGCCACTGGCGGATTTTTTAGGTAATCCTTCGCTCCATCCCCAAGACACCAACCCGGGATCTGATGGTTGCCAGTCACTCCACACTTCTCGCTATGGGCACTGCGGTTCACTGCAGTTGGAATGGCTGCGGCTGAACCGGAAGTAAGCTGGATTGGGGATTTTGCGGGGAAGTTGGTGTGGACAATGTTCTCGTTCGGAGATAATCCTCATAAGGTATGACAAGGCAAGGGAGCAGCAGTCAACCGGTGGTCAGCATACCACGCCACATAAGCAGATGAACACCAGCCTTAACGTGAACGGCAATGGCGGCAACTAAGGTACCCCGGATTTGAAAACAAGGTGACGCAAGGTTGTGTCTCGTAAAGTAGATGGATGGCTAGCTGATGGATAAATGGATTGCTGGGTAGATTCTTGATCGATAAGGTGGCTTGAGAAAGATTGAAGTAATCGTTAGTTTGAAGTAATGTGCGGACGTGTACACGGACCGAATCAGAGTATGAGTAAGTTATGGTAGGTCCAGATCCATCTCATATAGGAACAGTTCTGCATATAAGATATCCCGTCACTTTAGCTTTTGTGTGTTGAATTGAGAGTTCTGCTTCCTTAGGTCTACCTAGAATACTTGATGGTCTTGAAATCTTCCAACATGGGTGAAGTTACTACCCTAGTAGAGATACTTAAGTATAAGAGATATTTCAGCAGCAGTGGAGTGATCTTACTGTGCTCTTTCCTGCGCCAGCGTACGTAAGAATGTTTACTGCCGCAAGCCTCGTACTGTTATACACGAGGTAATGTGAAGAGGCAAAAACAAAAGACACATTACATGAGACTTATTCATCGGCTATTATTGTCCTCCAAGCCATTTTGGGTTTCAAGAACCGACAATCCTTCCGTAAGATTCTGATCATATTGTCTTTCATGGAGGGTTGTTCGTCCGCCCCTCACCGCCACGCCACCTTCTCGTCATGAGTACGAGAGATGAAAATAGACTCAAACTTTTCGGTGACAATGGGCCGGAAGAGGGTGGGAGTAGGAGTGGGAGCGGGAGTGAGACGTCTTTGGGAGTCGGGAGCTTGTGTCGTGTCGAGGATGGGTGCGTAGAGGAATACCTAGGTTGTAGCCGCGTGCTTCTCGTTACGCCCTCGCTTTCTCTTCGTAACCTTCTAAACGTCCGGTTACCTACGTTCAACACGAGAAGCTGAGCCGCAAAGACCAGAAACCCTGAACCTTCTCAGCATCAGCTGCTCACTTGAAACTGATTGACTGAGGAGCATTTAAAGTCATGGTCTGCCTCCTCCCATCCTACCACTTTGCCCTCATCAACAACATCATCCACCTCAGTCATCAAACCAAACTAAGTAAATAGTTTACAAGCAAAGAACAGCTGAAAGCTCTTAAACCAAACGCTACCTTACAAAAAATCAAAATGAAGTTCATCACCGCCATCCTCACCCTCGCTGCCGTGGCCGTTGCCAGTCCCACCGGCACAAACCCCCCTCAGTGCACGCCGGCCACCTACTCGTGCGCCAAGAACCCTGACACCCACGCCGAGGGTTGGCAGGTCTGCGATGTCGACAGCAAGTGGGTGGTAAGTTCACCTTCTCTCTTTCTTTTCTTGTCTCCTTTCAAGACCCTGTCCCGCTGAGTTGAGAACGACAATTGTCATGGTGCTGATGACAATGGGTACATTAGTACGCCGGTGACTGCCCCCCGAAGACTATCTGCCAGTTCTTGGAGGCCAACGGAAGCCCTTATTGCATTCCTGCTGAGTGGTAAAGCGGGGGATGAATGGAGGTTGAAACTCGAGAGAAGGGAGTCGAGTGGCGGGTATCCCGCGTAGGACGAAGTTGGGTTGGAATCGGGTGTTATTTCTCACGACACTCCTTTAACTTGAGTTGAAGTTTAGGAAGTTAGGTATGGATGCGCACGGGGGGGGACCTGTAAATACTTGGTTCATTCACTCCTTATCATTGATCAGGAAATAATCAATTTATGATACTGCGTGGATCACCTCTCCATAGCAAGATTCACAGTAGTAAAACACTACTATTTTTCTCGGGAACGAATACAAAGGGCGTGTCGACACCCGAAACCCCAGCTTTGCTCGAAAGAAATCGCGACGTGCAACCTAGTCGAACGCGAAACCTCTTCGTAAACCGGGCGGGGGGAGAGGCTAGTACGGCACACCGAGAAGACCCTCAATGGGACCAGTAGAGCTACCTAGCCCGAGGAGATCCTACCACCTCGGCCTGGATTGGCCGCTTATCAAGGGAATCAGGTGGTCCAGGTTTCGTCCGATGATGTTTGCACCCAGTGGAGAAAGGCATGGGGTAGACTGTCATGCAGGGTATTCAAGACACCTTCTCAAGGTGGTCTTGAACTATCGCATTTGATTCCTTCTACCATCCCTTATGAGCTTTCATCTCCCCAACAACCTCCAAAGACATTTTACGCAACAGGCCAATTTTTGTTGAAAACAACGCAAGAACCGTTCGACACAGGCGCAATATCGCTCTGCGACAAGAAGAGGCAGTACTTGGCAATGGACTCCAGAGGGGTATCGTTCTTGCCCGGTTCAAAGGGCGACTGGTTGGCCATGACCTTCTGATACATCTCCATGTGCATGCCTTTGGCAAAGGAATCGACGATATTGGTGCCGGTCAGGCCGCCCAGCAGCAAAGCCATGGTGTAGATGCCTTTGTCGGCGTAGAAGCCGGCCGTGTTCTTGGTTAGCGCCATGATGCCGGCCTTGGAGACGGTGTAGGCGGCGCCGGACTGGAAGCCCATGTAGCTGGCGTTGGAGCCAATGTTGATGATGACGCCGCCGGCTTGCTTCTGCTTCTCGAATTGCTTCACCGCGGCCTTGGTGGTGAGGAAAGGACCGGTAAGGTTGATGGCCATGACGCGGTCCCAAAGCTCCTTGGAGCAGTCGCCAGCCGGGGAGAAGTCATCCATGATGGCGGCATTGTTGACGAGGATGTCGAGGCGGCCGAACTTGGCGACGGAAGCGTCGATGAGCTCCTGGACCGCAGCCTCATTGGACACGTCGGTTTGCTTGATAAGGAAGCGGTCGGCATAGGTCCTGGTCCACTCCTCCTCGACAGCCGAAATACGCTGCTGGTTGACATCGCAGATGACAACGTTGGCGCCAGCAGCGAGGAAGGTCTCAGCAATCACCTTGCCGAGACCACCGGCGGCGCCGGTAGCGAGAACAGTCTTGCCCTGTGCGGATGCCATCTTGCTTGCAATGATATGTTAGGAACTATGAAGAGAGTTAGTCTTGGAGAATCAAAGATACGGTTCAGGTGGCCACTCACTGGTGATATATAAGAACGGTGATGGCCATAAGGAAGTGAACCATGATATGAAAGACAGACAAGTTAGAAGAGGACACCAAGGCATTCTTATACTCGAGGCTGAAGAGCGGACGCACCATAACGATGTCGTGGTAGACCCGCCCGAATTCCTCACCTGCCAAGTCCGTGGGGTTTGGAGACGGTGGGACAATGGATCTTGGAGTGATAAACGAATACGCTCAAGTTTACATGATGGTGCTATAGCTTTAGTGTAGAATTTTAGAGCAAACTTTCTCGTGGTGGTTCACAACGCCCTGGTGAAAGCCCTCGACTTGGCCGCCTCTTCTTTACGATGCTACTCGTTTCGCTCCGGCGGCCGGGCTTCACCGTTCTTTCCATATTACTTGAGAAGGGAGGTGAGCAGGCGAGTCTGGACCATAGGATAACCAAGCATCATCTGTTTACACTATTTTGGGTACCACGGACCCCTTCGTGCTGGTGTTGTCCGCTTCATCACGGTCTCAGAAGAAACCGAAACCGAGCTTCAACATGTGTAAGTGATAAGGGATTCTTATCCGTATTCGCATTCGGGATGGTGGGGAGGCCGAGTGCGTTGAAATTGGTGAAACCCGACCTCCCAAGGTCCAATTAATGTGGTCCACGGAAGTCTCCACGACGACGGGAAATGTTTGGAGTGGGATTGACTCGGAAGATGCCAAGGCACAAGTATTTGGGAACCTCGATGGCTGACCCCTGACTATCTGGGGCAGGCAGATATGGAATTCTCCGCTTTAACTGGCGCTAGGCGCTTGGCGTTGCGGCAGCGGGATGACGTCGTCCGAATCTAGGGCTCCAAATTTTCTGGAGACGGATTAGCGCGCGATAAGGTCACGATAACGAGACGGCCGCAATCTTTCCGGCTTCCAGCTATTCCCAATACACGAGAGCTGTTGATCGATGCCACGATATACCGATAATCCGAGTCTCGACCGATGAGACACCCATAACACAACATGTCGTCCTTTCTGTCCAACTCATCAAATCAATCGAAGCTCCAGCTTGCGACAGTTGCCCTCGCCTCTGCGGCTGTTACTGCTGGCGCGATTTACGGATACCAGCAATCTCGTCACGGCGAGCGCCTTAATCGCCTAAAGAAGTCTATCCCCAACCCAGCTGGCGATGCTGAGCCCGAATTACAGAGGGTATGCCAGATACCCCATAATCCTGACGAATTACCTAGCCATTGGAACGCACATACTAACGGCGCCCTGCTTGCTGGTCTTCCTAGGTAACCCGCCAAGGTCCCGTCCCTAAGCTCGACAAAGAAGATGAACACAACCAAGCCCTCGCCCACCGAGCCCAGAACGGCGACTTCGACGACGAACTGATTCTCGAGCAACTAGCCCGCAACCGTGTGTTCCTCGGCGACGAAGGGCTCGCCAAGCTGCGCAACTCCTTCGTCGTCATCGTTGGTTGCGGCGGAGTTGGCTCGCACGCCGCCACAACGCTCGCCCGCTCCGGCGTTTCCAAGCTGCGCCTCATCGACTTCGACCAGGTCACGCTCAGCTCGCTCAACCGGCACGCCGTCGCCACGCTCGCCGACGTCGGTCTACCCAAGGTGCAATGCCTGCAGCGCCGGCTGATTGCCATCACACCGTGGGTGCGGTTCGACCTGCGCCTGCAAAAGTTCGACGGGTCGGTCGCTCCCGAATTGCTCGGTGCGTGGGAAAAGGACGGGCAGATGCCTGACTTCGTCATTGACGCCATCGACAACATCGATTCTAAGGTCGAGCTGCTCAAGTACTGCTACGACAACAATCTCCCCGTTATTTCGTCCATGGGCGCCGGCACCAAGAGCGACCCAACGAGGATTATGGTTGGTGACATTGGCACCAGCACGGACGACGGACTCTCGCGCGCTACCAGGCGCCGCCTGAAGCTCCTCGGTGTCACCAGCGGCATTCCCGTGGTGTACTCGACTGAAAAGATGGGCGAGGGCAAGGCGGCGCTTCTGCCATTGCCCGAGGAGGAGTTCAAGAAGGGCGATGTCGGCGACTTGGCGGCGCTGCCCGATTTCCGCGTGCGTATCCTACCTGTGTTGGGAACCATGCCGGCGGTTTTCGGATATACAGTTGCGAACCATGTCATTCTTAAGATCTCTGGTAAGTTCATTGAGCAATCATTCCTCCCACCCTCCCCACAACATGAATTGCGCATGACTTACCGTATGTTTCTCCCAGGCTATCCCCTCGACTACATTCCCCAAAAGGGCCGTGACAAGATGTACGACGGTATCCAAGCCTTCGTTCAGGCCAGTGAAGAAAAGATCATCCGCGCCGTGACCGGCGGTCCCCGCGAGCTCTGCATCGGGTTGAAGGTGCCCATCCAGCCCTGCGAGGTCTCGTTTCTTGTCGAAGAGATCTACAAGGCCAAGAGCGCCGTCACCGGCATCCCCACGAAACTAGTCCTGATCAGGTGGCAGAAGCCTACCCAGGACATCCTCATCAGGATAGGTGAGGGTGCGGACGAACAAAAGTCGTCAGATCTGAAACTGTCGGAGCTCGTCTGCATGACCAAGGATGAGGCGACGAGACACCAGAAGGAGGTGTTGCTGGGCGAGAAGACGCTCGAGGAGCTCTACAACGCTGAAATTATAGAGAGAGTGGCGAAGAGACAAGAGGAGATCAAGCTGTACGAGAAGTACAGATGATTCTCTTGGTCTCGTAAAACTCAAATGGCCTGTTAAGGTCAAATGGTCGATTTATTGATCGGTTTCATTGCCGGCGTCCAAAAGTCACATCGCACAGATCCAAAAAATGTTTTCACAATAAAAGGCGGCCTGGAGTCAAAGACATCCTGAAAGAGGTCTTTTAAACACAATAGTGTGCGTGCTGCATCACTTGATTGGCGGTTAGATCATGTTTTGTTTGGAGAGTACCTTTTGTCTCTCAAATGAGGTTTCTGCCAATTAGAACAAGGAAAAGCTACTTGAACAAGAATTCGTTTGCAAGGAGATGAATGGGAAAAGAATTAGTCGCTCCTAAGGCAGCCGCTTGCAGTGTGCCAATGTCAAGATCCCTATCACGGATATGGTGCTTGTGCTGTCGATGCCGGCCGACTTGGTAACAAGCAACAATGTACCACCTCCTGACGATGAAGGCACCGCTAAGGAGGATAGTGTACTTGAACATAGTACTTGAAAAATGGACAATTCTTGAAGAAGCAGAGCTTCCAAGTATTGTATTCTTCCTTGAAGATAACCATCACAAAAGTGATGCAGATTCCTTTCTTTGCCGCTGCCTTGAGGGGAAGAAAAACTCCCAAGAGAAGCTTCAGTTAGAGGAATACTTGAACCAGACTGTGAACCATTGAAGCAAGGTCGATAACAGAAGTGCACTTGCGCTTCTTGAAAGCAAGAAAAGCAAATACCTCGAAAACAAACGAGAAAGAAAAGGAAACAAAATCAAGGATGCACTATATTTGCCTAAGCCCTTAATGGCATTTCAGAGTTGGGAGCCCCAGAATGCCTCAGCAAGCAAGTTGGATTCCGCTACGTGGCTTGTTGTCTGGTTGTCAGACTGTCATTGTCCATGAAGTAGAAACTCCCGCTACCCTCTGAATACTAATGCCTATTGTTGTGCTGTGTTCTGTGGTCATTAGGTGGAATTTGCCCGATCCTGGTCGAAAACGAAGCAGTCGGATGTGTCGGCTCTGACGGAATACGATGTAGTGACCGACCTATCAGGCCACGATACTCAGCGCAAATGAAGTGAGTGAGTAGGCCCCCAGGCTTAGGGTTTTTCGACGGCGAAGCCGACGCCCTCGCACACTTTGCCCTTGTTGTAAAACTCGACGTTAGGCAACAGCTGGCTGACCATCCAACGTGCGGTTTGTGCATGCAGAGTACCCTCACCAAATGGCTCCGTGGTCTTATCCTTCCGCAGCCCGTGAGTGGCATTCTCATCGCTGAGGTCCAGCGCCGCCATGGCCTCTTCGATACCCGGTCCCGAGACCTTATCGTCGGTCGGATCGCTATTGCCACGAGGAAAGGCCGAAAGCCCGCTCGCTAGTGCTTGGAAGATGACCAGCTGGTCCTGGAGGAACTCGTCTACCACGCCACCGGTAGAAACTTCGTCGTACAACGTTCTCGCGACCTTGGTCGCCACGCTCTTGCTCATGGATGCCAGCCCACCGGTTCCTGCATGCGATGACAAGCTATTGTCGCCCTTGTTCTTGCCTTTCTTCGAGTTGGCTGCTTTCGGCATCGAAGTAAGGATGTCCCTACCCCACCTCAAAACGGCGCCGGCGCTGGCTCCTTCATCATCAGAAGGCCACGAGCGCGCGACTAGAAGCACGTAGATTCGCGAGTTGGCCCCGCTGTCCTCCAGCAGCTTGAAGATGACTTCCACGGCCGGGAAAAGGTCGCCTAGGTTCTGGACCAGCGCTTGGGAGAGAGATTCGTGCATGTCTGTCGGTGCGACGATGGAGACATCGATGGCTTCAAGGTCGAAATCCTCGCCTTGTCTATTTCTGCCCTTCATGGTGCAGGCTGTCGGGTTTCTGAGCCGGAGTGAATCGCCGACTCGAATGGGGTGAACACGGAGGGCCACGGTTCCGCGTTGCATCTTTCCGAGGTTCCAGCCGCGTGTCTTGAGCTTGCGCTCCACAACAATACCAAATGCTTGCTCAAGGGAAGGTAGGAGGACTTGGTCCAGGTATTCGTAAGAAAGAGAAAAAGAGACGTTGGTGCCGCCGGAAATCTCCACGTCGATATGTTCTGGCTGATCTTGCTTCTTGCTCGTATTTCCGCCAGCAAATAGGAGGAAGGGGAAAATTGCCTGGAAGATGAGCAACGTGCTTGCCGCGGCGGAATCGGCAGCGATCTTGACGGTGCGGTCATGAATACCGGTAAAGAGCTTGGAAGTTGCGGGGCTTTGCCGCGGCTTGAACTCTAGTGTAGTGCTACCGACGGAAAGGCCATTAACTTCCGCATCGGTTACGCGAGCAAGCCATTCGATGGAAGCTACGTGTTGAGCTTTGAGTCCTGCTACATTGTCAGCTACTGTCCGATGAGGTGCGTGGCTGCCGCGGATCAAAGTGCAAGCTGAGCCAACAAGTGAACTCGTTCTGAACCGCAGCTCACAAAGAAAAGAAGCGGGGAAAGAGCGAGAGAGAAAGGGAGAAGGGAAAGTAGGTACGAACCCCCGCGTTCGCGGTTTCCCCTCACGTTAGTGATGCGAATAGGCTGAGTGATAACGGAAGCAATCGCGCATGCTATGCGGACCAGCTGTCCACCTCCCTCGCCTGTTCTGCCATCAATCTCCAGCATCGATCGCGCCTTGGCCTTTTTCATAGCTGCTTTTCGCTGGTGGGGCAACATGTGCTCCGGATCATCTTCGCTGGACCGCAAGATGATGTTTGCTGTCCCAGAACAAGTGGGATTGCTAGATGGTTGCGCCATGATGTTTGGACGCTGTCGCAGGTGGGATGGATCCGGCTTGTGCTCGCAGTAAATGTGAGTTCTGACGGAGGGTGATTGTTGTCAGTCGATGTTAAGAACCTGGCGAGCTTGTTCAGCGAGGATGTGTGAATGTGACTTGTTCTCGCAGGGTTCAAGTTTTGCGCGATGCGCAAGATGCTGTGGCGACCTTTTCTGGTAAGAGGAAAGAGATTACCGACGAGCGCGTGGTAATTTATTTGTAGGTGGAAAAATCCGAGGACGTTAGTTGCATCCGACGAAGGTTTTTAGCGCTTGCGCGACCGGGCTATCACTACCAAGTGGTGAAGGATGCGAAATACACCTTACTTGGGTTGTGAAGTGAAGGTGATGACGGAAAGGTTTTCGGCGAGGTGAGTCAAAGGTTTGCATGGGTGTTGTGCGATGATGTGTGGTACGGTTTGGAGTTAATTGTTTTTTGGTTTTTTTTTCTTCTTTTCTTTCGTTATGTTCCCACGACGGTTGTGTGGCGCAGTACCAAACAAAGGCAAGGTGTCGAGATGACGGAGGGGCGGGAAAAGCCTAGAGTCATTCGTGCGGCCTTGGCTTTTATCGATGGTCCTTCTTCCAGTCTAATACTCGACCTCGAAGTCGGTTGTCACGAAGTCGGGATGGTACAAACAACCGATGACCAAATGCAGGTGGCCGATTGAAGCGATGGACTCGAGCGAGCAGCACCAGACTGTGAGCGACGCACGCTGATTCTTGGTGTACACAACTAAATCTAGTGCTCATTTGATGATCACAGCAGGTCAAGAGGAAAGCGTGTGATACGGAAAGAATAGGTACACTTCTATCCAACAATGTTTTGATGCATTGGATCTACCGTATGGGGGTGCTTACTGAACCTCTAGACCAGTTGGTTTCTTCCGGGGATGATGAGTTACTAAGTTCTATAGCCCCATCCTCCTCTACATGCCTCTTTCCAAAATCTCACACAATCTAGAAGCATATGTCTACCTCTCCTTGGCGACCAACCTGTGTATGCGGCCCTCCAATGGGCGAAAGGAAAAGAGCATGATCCTTTCCAATGAGCCGACGAGCAAATCGAGATATTAATTGATCAATTCCTCCGTCGCCTCGGGAATCGTGGCAGGGTATAGGCCGGTGAAACCTTCAAGCGGCCTCATCATGGTAATCAGGCGTGTCGCCATCTCCGTCTGTCTGTCTTCGATGACATTGTTGTTGTGGTTGGCTTCGAACAGGCGGGAGTGGTTAGCCTGACACTCGGTAACGTAGGAAGTGACTCGCGAGTTATCAATCGTATAGTCCGGTACGTTCTGTGCCGGACCGTCGTTTAATAAGATTCTAGGCGGGGCGACATCCTCGCTGTCAAGTTGGATTAGGACTGATACAACTTATCACCCATGAACGGTTTAACTGACCTGATGGATCCATTGTGAACGACCATAGAGACTTCAGACGTCTCGGATGATCCGTCCTGTTGTGTATCTTCCGGCGGAGCATACGCCGCCTCTTCTCCCAAGGGTGACGTATCTTCAGAATAACTAGATGAAGTCTGGCCGTCCATGCTTTCTTCCCTGCTGGACATCGTCCGGATGTGGATCGTGCCGACGTAAAAGTATTGGATATGTCTGTCTGTAGCAGGAGCTCTCCACGTTCATAGACAACTGAGATGCCAGGAACAGATGCATACCATAGAGCGCAAGTAAAGTTCGACACGTGTGCGATTATGAACCGAAGGAAGAAAAATGTTGGGCGAAGTAGGTAGATCGATCGGTTCCGCTATGCTGAGGAGAGAAGAGCAGCAGCGCTCAAATGTGCATTGGAGTGTGCACCTCCCAGGTTTTCCACTCACGTGGGCGCCCTTAGTGTTTATATAATGATGGCATCGTAGACGGACGGGTACCTTGACTACGGAAGAGGGCCCGTGTGGTGTCTCGATGATGGCGGTCGTTACAGGGCAGTCAAAGTTCACTTGGAGCGAAATCAATGACCGACGAAAGTAAGCAATCGCTGGTTCTCGAACGGTCGCAGAGACCCCGGTTCTGGAATTTTGATAGGGCTGTGAGGGTGTGCTACCCAAGGGGTCGAAGTTGGTCACCACTCCTGGGGCATCCGCGGAACGGCCAGGACACTCCCCAACAAAACCCATCTAGGAGACCCTGACCTTGGGTAAGCATGGCCACAGGTGCTCATCTTGCTACCGCCTCACAGCTTGGGGATATTGTGACCTTGGCAAGGCAACCACAGAGGCAGTCGCTCGCGTTATGGACTCGACGAATAGAGTCCAAGCATAGGGTGAAGAGAAATGAATAGACGTACCAATGTCGGAGTATTTATGGAAGTTTAAAATGGCATCCCCGTTGGCAGTTCCTGAGTGTCCAGCTACATGAGAAAAAGCCTGCTCTGTTGACTGTGGAAGCACCGCTATCTTAGGCATGATTTCAAGGTGTGACAATTCCTTTGGCTGCTTGTTTTCCCATCCTTGCTCTTGATGTTGAGTTATGTAATACACTTGCGCAGTCGGGCAAGGCCAAATCATTGAAAGCAAGCGTGGCTGTGCAGCTCTCTCCTCCAGCGAGTGGTTATTGTACGGGACTCCTCACGATTATCCCCGTTGAGATCACCGCTAGTCAGAATCGCTCAAAGCTTAGGGTAGCCGGCCTCATAGATTTCAACTGTTGTTGATAAAAACAAACATTTATCAACGCAGAAACAGTCGTACCTCTGTACTGAAGTATAGCTGAACTTAGCCTCTTCACTGTAAGCTGTCTACAAGGTGATATGATACGTCGTATGCGAGTGTCCCTTCAGAGTTTACCGCATGAATACAGATGGAAATAAGCCAGGGTTGATGAGCCTCTTTGTGAAACTGGCTCCCTGATCCCACAAATGCTATGTAAGAGGAACTCTGGGCATCTCACCTCGTTGTGATGGTGATATGCCGAAGCACTCGAGTTTGCTAGCTTGTCCAACGATGGATAACCGGACTATTGCAGTCATTTCGATAACCAGGCGTATTTCGGGAGTAATGTTGATGTCAACGTTTGTTCACCGCTTTTCTGAAACTCGAAAGGGTTGCCTGATTCAGAGCGAGCCCAGAAACACGTCAATGATCTCAGGATTGGTGACATTGCGGGGTTGCTGAGAGGCAACTGAAGTTAAGCCTGAAATACCTCCTAGATTTCACCCGAAATCTGTTGTTGGGCTTGCCAGTGAACGGCGGGCTGAAAGGCGCTTGGGTGGCTGCAGGAACGACACCATCGGGACAACTTGACAGGATGTACAGAGCTGTGACGGAGAGGGGTGATGCGACAGCAATCTTATGGCATGTCCTAACAGCATATTCGAGTATCAGAGGTGACAGTCGTAGTCTTCCTTAAAGTTTCAGTTCGCTCATTGACCTCTTGACTCGTGAAACCCCACAAGTGCCTGAAAACATTTTTTTTCGTGCTGACGCTCACAATTCAAACTTGTTTGTTGAGTCTTGATGGATCAACAATACAGCCCGAGTCTTATCACTACATCCGAACCCATGCCAGCTTATGGGAGTTGAGAGGCGTGACGATTGGAAGTTGTGAGGGTTCAAGGGGTACTAGCCAGCACTCGAAGGCTATACGTTCACGATTCATAATCACTTTCCGAAACGACAGTGTCTCTTTTGTCCAAATTACACAGCATCGAACTATTGGACTTGTTGGCATCGCCTAGTAAGAGATACCAATGAGTACTTGAGGTGAACGCAGGGCGATCTGAAGATTTTGGCCGGATAACTAACTCAGCCTCCCCGTCGGCGGACGCCGAGTCGCATGCTGCAATATTGCAATCCTCGAAACGGCGTGCAGAAATAATGGATTACAAAAAGACAGGAACAAAGCTCGTACAGTCCTTGGTTGAAGAGGCGGAAATGGCGATGAGTATGTTAACGTGGCAAGCAGACGAAGGATATCTCTTGTCGGTGTGACCTGTCGATTTGAACAGGCCAAGAAACACTAGAACTCAGCATCCTGGAACTGGTCAGTATGCTTGTCCTTAGAACGCCCTGCTGGATATATGGTGATGGTTGACGTAGAGACGTTTGCCACATGAGCCATGGATGGATGAGAGGCGTTGATTCAGCAATCCACAAGGCAACTGACCCACCGATGGGCTCACCGCGCGGCAAGGCAAACAGTCCCATTGTTCAAGCCAGGGTTTATGCTCAAAATAGCATTACCGGACGATGGAGAAGAATCCGCGAGTGGTCAAATGTAATACCGAGGCGGCGACAACAGAGCCTCCCCAGCTCTTTTTGCCAGTAGGAAGGTGAGGAGACATATGTGTGTTTTGAGGGTCATCGGTGACCCCGTTATCGGGCATGGACCGAGTTCGATTGAGAAGAAGGTTGGCAGCTGTGTGGCGAGGCCAAAGGTGTGCTTTTGTTTTCTCGGAATCAGCCTTATCTAGCAAGTGGCACTTGGACGTGTTGGAACAGAAGATGGAAGACACCGAAGTACTGTATGATCTGATCTTGATGTCGAATGCGGTTGCGCGTGCTGGGTGTATAAGGCCTCCTTTATACAAGAACAGAGATCTCCAATCCAGTCCTATTACCACACACTTCTACGGTAGCACACCCTGTTGCACCTCTAAAACGGAAAGAGGGAAGGAACTCGCACGATGCAACCACCTCAGCTGGTACCGTCTGGACTGAGGTGGAAGGCACAGTGCAATATTGTTTGGTAATGTTCCCGTCAGTTAAGTTGTCGCATCACCTCATGCGCCACGATCCAAATTCAGCTGAGCAAAGTCACCTCGAGCACACCCACAACAGCTGGTCTGGCCACCAACTGCAAACATCCCACGCGACATCCAAGGTTTCGATGCAAAGATCGACAGCCAGCTGAACTGTGGAGGAAAGAACGAGGGATTGACTGTGCGCTGTGATTGCCCGCCCTCGATGCTGTAATGTGAGTAAAGACATTGCAGACTGGGAGACTGAGTAAAATTTACATCTTGCAGGAACTGAAGGCGTGGCTGCCTCGGTCACGCACTGTAAATTGGCGGCTGAATGGCAAGAAAAAATAGCGGGAACCAGAAAAGGGATATCTCAGTAAGCTAAGTGACAAGAATTGAACAAGTGAGCGCCTTCAGATAATGTAAACTTATCATGCTGCTCCAGTGTGCGCAACACCCAAAGTGGCGTCAAGCGAGAGACCCAGAGAATCCTCGAAATCAAGATCTTTAAACTGGCCATCCTCCACCACCCAAGGTTGTCCCTCCTGCTTTGGCGTGTACAGAGCCTCGCAGGCACGGCCAACAACCAAAAGCCCCGGTGGGCGACTACCCTCCTGTTCGATAGCCTGCTCAACGTAGCGGAGCGTTGTCCGGATAACTCGCTGATCTGGGCAAGTGGCTCTTTCGATCACCGCACACGGTGTGTCAAGTGGCCACAGTGCCCGTTGCTTCTCACCCTCCTGAACCTCCGCGACCCCATCGGCCTCCCCGAGACGCGTTGTCAACTCCTTGACCAGTCCTCCAATACGATGCAGAGCCATCAAGAACACGACCGTACGACTGCCGACGTACTCGGGCGGCACGGGCGGCTTGCCCTTCTTTCCCGTTCCAGTGCAGATAAGCACCTGGTCTGACACATCACGCTGGGTGGCAGGAATACCCGCAAACAGCGGCGCGCTCAAGCTGCTTGTGATGCCCGGCAACACCACGACACGATCGCCGAGCCCATGCTCCCGGAAGAAGGCCACCTCCTCGCCACCGCGCCCGTAAATGAAGGGATCGCCCTGCTTGAGCCGCAACACCGTCTTGCCCGCACGAACACCTTCCAAAGCCTGCTCGAGCAGCTCTTCCTGCGCGCGATCGGCGTTGCCGGGGAATTTACGGGCGATTGAAACGGGTGTCCGGCGCGGGATCATATCCAAAACACCGGAGGGAACCAGCTTGTCGGCGAGAATCAGGTCAGCTGATTGGATGGCCTTGTATGTAGCCCGCGTGAGAAGATCCGGGTGGCCCGGACCGCTGCCGGCGAGGAAGATGCGTCCAAAACGGCCATTGTTGCTGCTGGTGGTGGTGGTGATGCTGCTGTTGCCACCCTCACTGACAGCGCCCGGGAGAACAGGTGGTGGTGATGCCGAGGAGTTGTCGCTGCTGAATCCGGGATATGCCTGGAGGATGCGCTCCACGTCATCGTCGGTGATCTCCACCAGCTTCTTCAGGGGCCAATACTCGCACACCTGTGCCAACCACCGCATGCGGCGCGACTTCGCCGCCTCGGCCTGCACGTCTAGCTCGGTGACAAGTTTGTTAAACGTTGCCGACTGGTCGATGGAGTCGTCGACGCCTTCGTTTACCGCGGCAGCGATGGCGCTCTCTGCAGCAGTCCTGGCCTCTGCGTCCTCGGTGATGATCCTCCTCCTCACGTCTCCAAGTCGAGCACACGCGGCTCCTAATCCCTTGGGTAGCGCAGAAGCCACCTCCCTCCTGATCCTACTGGCCAGCTTGCAGCCACGGCCATTGGTTGTCACGCCAATCTGCAGCGGGCCGTCGACGTGTACGCTAAGGAGGCTGAAAGAACACAGCGCCGGGTTGTCAAGCACGTTGACAGGAATGCGCTTGCGCTTGCACAGGGCTGATACCCGCTCGGCCAGCAATTGGTCGTGTTGTGTCACAAAAACGGCGTCCACGACATTGTCCACCTCGGACCGACCGAGCGTAGTGAGGTCCTCGTCTGCAAAAGGCCGATCCAGGTGCGTTAGAGCTCCAGAAGAGATGTAGTTGGCCAGGTTGTGATGTAGCTCCCGCTTTTCATTCTGTTGTGAGTCCGCTGCTGTTGGTGTCATATCCGACTCTACCGGAGCGATCAAGATGGGTTTTGCGCCCACGGTAAGTGACTGGGAGACTCGGGATGCCGCCAGCGGATTGGAGCCGATGATGAGGTGAACATGTTCCCGACAGTCTTGTGCCGTAAGAAGGGTAGTATGGTAGGCTGAAGGAGCCGTAGGTAAATTTGGGGATGCCATCTTTGCCACCTCTGCTTGGATGGCGTATTGAGGCTTGGACGTGGGGGTTTCTCTGAAAAGAACCCTCTTCTGGAAGAAGCACTCGGGACCGACCAAGTTCCGTATACTTTGTGTGTAAAACGAGCTTGATTGCTTGATTGCTTGATGTCGAAGTTATACTCGAGGAAAGGTGATTGTCAAAGGCAAGGTAAATGAAGAATCGTGGGGTATCAAAGAGATGGAATGGGTTGTTCACGGGTAGGTATTCCCCAAAATAACAGATAGATTATACATACTCGGGTTTCTGATCGAGGGAGCTAAGAAGTTTATAGGTTACGGGGCTCTTTGACTTTATATACTCTTCCTCCTACTTACTAAACTTACCTCCGGACTCCGGCCGGTCGGTCGTAGTCATGTCGTGTCGTTTCCAAAAGTCACACTTTCCCCACGATGGGGCGTCTGGCGGCTGCAGACGTTCCAGCAACTCCGCTGAAAATTGGAATGTAAGTCTACAAAGGAACAGGGGTAATCTTCGCCAATGAGAACGAATTTGGCCACTCAGAGGGCAGGAATTTTCTGTGATCGCTCTCTTTTGGTTGCAGAATCGACCGAATCTTTTTAGTGCCCGCTGACGCCATTTGGGAGGGACCCGCTTTGGCCGCAGTCGCGGCAATGGATGAACCGCAAGAGTCGGCTGTCGGTCGATGCTTGATCAGTGCCTTGGGTGGTAACAGAAATTTCGGTTTATGCTGTCGAACAACAGAGTATACAAAGGTAGGTATAGATTGCTCACGATTAAACCAATGCCATTTGATGGTTCATACAAGTCTTGTTTACTTGGTTACAAGTCCGTATAGGACAGGCATGTATTTTAACCGGCTCCCCCAAACAAAGATACAGTGCATATTCATCCTTCAGTTCGATTCAGTTGGTAATGAACTCCATGCCAAGTACTGTACGCACTGCAATCTCGCACCTCAACATGCCTCGATGCTTAATCGCCGCTTGGAACTGTCAAACGATAAGACTGATAAGATTCCGCCATAGAGGTATGTCCGCGGGCCATGACCGGAGATGCTCGAGTCAAGACTGGCAAATACCCGACACGCTATCTACCTCATGGAACTTGGTATTATAGCCTTTAGCAATGGGGAGTTCGGAGATGCTCAGTTGCAGCTAAAACTCGATTGAGAGCTCGACTTCCGCGACAAAAATATCAAGCCAAGGGTACATATACACACGAGCGTTTGTTCCAAGCTGGCAGACCACGATACATGGATTTGGCACATATCGTAGACTGTTGCTCTGACCACTGAACATCAACACCCCATCCTAGTAATACTGCTCAAGACGGTTGTTGCAAAGACCTCTTAACATCAAATCAACACGACCACGAAAACCCAAGCTCTCAGCGACTGTTTAAGCAGCTCAAGATCAGCGGTTGAACACAGCTATATTTTCCGCTGTCAAACAAATTTCCTCCAGCGCAACCCTATGCCACTTCAACCCTCCATGTCGTGTGTTGAAAGAGTTCCCCGTCCATCTCAACATGTCTTCAGAGTCTTTCCCCACTAGCCCGTCCGTATATGCAGATTCCAGAAAAACGACCAAATTATGTACAATGCAGAAATGAAAAATAGGAAAAAAAAACTTTGCTGTTGTAAACTCCAATTTTCCACCAGTCAACCCCCCGACAACACGCCGAGACAGGATATTGATAACTCGAAGAGAGGAGGCCAGAAGATGCAGTAAGACAAGAGCGAAAACCGGTGGCGGAAAACAAAAAAGTTGGTAAGGGAACCACTGCTGGTTGCGAAATCGTGTGCATCGTAGACAAAAACGTCCGGTATCGGCGTCGTAAAGGCGTCCTTCTTGAGCGATAGCGTAAATGAGCTGGTCGGGGAAATAGATGTGGTTGCCCGTGTTTGCTAGCGGTGCCCTGATCTGCGTCGATCTTACGTATAAAACGCATTGTTGCCTAGCATCGAGGCAAGGCTCGAGAGGACGGCCTATGCTGGGGCCATAATCCGGGTTGTTCGGTCAGCCGTCTTACATGACCACGCATTTCGACTCCTCCCGGTCCTTCTTCACTGACAAAGCGACACGCGCCGCCTCGGTAAAGGCTTCATTGACTCCCCGGTTTCGCATGGCGGAGCATTCGAGATATCGGAGAGCCTTGATCCGGCGAGCCACTTCCAGGCCCTGGTCGTAGCTGATCATTGGCTTCTTCTCACGCTGAGCACCGTCCTCGTTGGCTCCGCCATCCTCTTCGTCCTCGGTTGCCTCGCGCAGGTCGCACTTCAACGCGACCAAGACAATCTTGACGCCCGGGCAGTTTTCAGCAATCTCGCCTTGCCATTTGCTTTCGACGTTTTCGAGTGAGTCCTTGCTGTCGACAGAGTAGCAAAGCATAATTAAGTCGGTGTCATCTAGTACACCGCAAGTCAGACGTCACGCACGTAACATGGTTAGCGGCTACCGGAGAATGCGAAGAACCTACCGTATGATAGACTTCGTAGCCTGTCAAATTCTTCCTGACCGGCGGTATCCCACAATGACAGTTCAATATGGACATTGTCGACGAAGATGTCTGAGTCAACATTAGTATCGCATTGCAGGACGCTTCCGTCAATTTCTCTCTGTAAACGTACCGTGCACATAGTTCTCGAAGACTGTCGGCTCGTATACAGTGGGGAAATAGCTGGACGGGAGGTTGAGCGCATATCCTTAGATTGCAAGGCAATGGCGGTTCAATCGCAAACATACCCTCTTGTGAAAACGTTGAGCAGTGAGGTTTTTCCGCAAGCACCATCGCCGCTGTTGCCAAGAGTTCCGGTCAGCAATTGACCTCATAGCGATCTACGCATTGAGATGTCGCCCCAATCAATCCGATACGGGACGAGGTTGGGGTGTGTTAACTCACAGCAAGACGAGCTTGCGCTGCACTGTTTTC